CAGCTAGAGGGACAGAGCTGGCAATGTGGATCTGCTCGCCAGACAAAGAGGTAGGAAGGAATCCATCAGGCGTGTGCTCTGGGCATGGGGCTGAGTATATGAAGGACCAGGGGATAACGGCAGCAAAAGGCCCATGGACGTGGGCCCTCAACCCATTCTGAGCCTAGACCAGCATCCTGCTTCCGTTTTCCTCAAATTTGATATGCTCCCCCTCTAATAAAAATCCTTGCTCATTATGGAAGATCTGGAAATCAGAAACGATACAGGGAGAAAACATCCCCTGTTCTTAAAGAAAACCACGATTAATCATTTGTCATATTTCTTTCCGGACTTTTTAGAAAATGTGGTTAAGAAATTTGGTTTTTATTTTTATTGATTTATTCTTTAAATGTTTATTTATTTTTGAGAGGCAGAGAGAGACAGAGCACAAGCAGGGGAGGGGCAGAGAGAGAGGGAGACACAAAATCAGAAGCAGGCTCCAGGCTCTGAGCTGTCAGCACAGAGCCTGACATGGGGCTCCAACCTGCAGACTGTGAGATCATGACCTGAGCTGCAGTCGGACACTCAACTGACTGAGCCACCCAGGCGCCCCAAGACCTTTGGTTTTTAAAAGGAGGTACTATATGAGGTGCCTGGATGGCTCAGTCAGTTACGTGTCTGACTCTTGATCTTGGCTCAGGTCAAGATCTCACAGTTTGTGAGTTTGAGACCCTCCTCAGGCTCTGCGCTGACAGCATGGAGCCTGCTTGGAATTCTTTCTCCTCTCTCTGCCCCTACCCCACTCGTGCTCTCCGTGTCTCTCTCAAAACAAACAAATAAATAAACTTTAAAAAATTAAAAGAAAAAAAGGAGGTGATATATTTGCATGTGCTTGGGCTGCCTGACCGTCTAGCATTCCTGTGTACTGTAGCCTTCTGGCGCACTGTGGTTACTCCTTCCCAGGACCCTTCACAGCCACATGCAGAGTCCTGAGAACCAGACCACCACCCTCTCCAGGCCCACAGATGCCTTGATCTCTCATCCCTCTGCCTGCCCTTCCATCGCTCTGAATTCCTCCAGTCTGCTGTCTCTTTCTTGCATCTTTTTTTTTTAATTTTTTTTAATGTTTTATTTATTTCTAAGAGAGAGAGAGAGACAGCGTGAGCAGGGGAGGGTCAGAGAGAAAGGGAGTCACAGACTGAAACAGGCTCCAGGCTCTGAGCTGGCAGTCAGCACAGAGCCCCACGCGGGGCTCGAACCCACGAACCGCGAGATCATGACCTAAGCGAAAGTCGGACGCTTAACCGACTAAGCCACCCAGGCGCCCCTCTTTCTTGCATCTTACACACCCCCACCCGGCAACGATGTCCATGCAACGTCGTCTCCCAGACCTCCTACTCTCTCTCTCAGACAGCACCTATGTGGACGTTAGTGAAAGATGAGGCCACAGCTGTGCCAGGGCACGTTGCTTATCATTGAAGACGCCTGGATTCCAGCCCCAAGCCCCACCTCTGTCGGGTACCTTATGGAGGGTCCAGCCTGGTCTAAACCATATCTCATGCGGGCCTCATGGCCCCACTAAACCTCCTTCCAAACTTTCAGCTCCCCCGCAGACTCCTGTCCTCATGGAAACTAGGTGGGGGAAAGGAGCCATCCTTCAATAATTACCACTGTTATCATGTTTTACTTTACCGAGCATGCCTCCCTCTGTGGGCAGGAATTAACATTAGAGCTAAATGTTAGGGCCAGAAGGGATGGTTGGGGACTCTGAGGGCCAGAGGAGTAACTTGCTAGAGGTCACCAGGCTGGTACAGTCCCCGGGACTTCCCACTCCCAGCCCAAGGTTCCTTCTACTCGGGAAAGATGCAACAGGCCCTCGCTTCTGCTGGCCCCCCCGGGAAGTCCAAATTACTCTCAAAATCACAAATCCTACTGATTTCATAATGAATACTAAGCAAAATGCACAGGGTGTTTCTGGCCATCTGATACCAGCCAACCATCCGCCGGCTTCTGGCAGTGGGACCTGGTGGCTTAGTGGGAGCAGCTTGGGAAGGGTGTCAGTGGCCTGGGTGCTGGGTGACCCAAGCAAGCCGTTCACCTCCTTGCAGCCCTGAGGGGCCTGATTCCTCAAAGCTCCCTACAACCCTGCGTGGCAAAGTATGTGGCTGTCCCGCTGCCCCTCAGCCTGTTGATGTCCATTTGGCTGGCCCTTCCCCAGAGCCCTCTCTTCCCAAATCCTGGGTTTGTTCAGCTCCACCTTCAGTTCTTTCAGGCCTGGACTCTTAGAATAGCCCACAATCAGGAGTTTAGAGAGGGCTGCTCCCCACTGACTGACTCCTCTCACTGTCCCATCCTCCTCCTGCAGAAAGCCTCACCCTCGGCCCGGGAACGCCATGACCGAAGTGGGCTGGTGGAAGCTGACCTTCCTGCGGAAAAAGAAATCCACTCCCAAGGTGCTCTACGAGATCCCTGACACCTATGCCCAAACAGAGGGCAGCGCAGAGCCCCCTGGGCCCGAGGGTGGAGGCCCCGATGGCAACTTTAACACCCGCCTGGAGAAGATTGTGGACAAGAACACAAAGGGCAAGCATGTCAAAGTCTCCAATTCGGGCCGGTTCAAGGAGAAGAAGAAAGTCCGAGCCACGTTGGCAGAGAACCCCAACCTCTTTGATGACAGGGAGGACAAAGGACAGTGAGGGGGCCCACGGAGGATGCTAGCACCTCCCCACTCCTGCCGTCAGCCGGATCTGAGACGGGAGCTTGCCACGCTGGCCTCCTTGGCCACAGGAGCCGTGGGGACAGTTGATGCCTGCTGGCAGGAAACGTCTGGTTTTAGGTTTGTATTTATATCCCCTAGCTTTCTGGAAGGTCTGGGAGATCCCAGGGCCCTCCCACGTCCCCCAGCACATACAAAGGCACTCCAGCCCGAGAATGAGAACCCCACCCAGGAAGGACAGCCCTCCTCACAGCGGTGGTGCCAGCAGAGAGGTGGGCATGGCAAGAAATGGAGAGAGGAAGCGGACAGACTTCACCTCCTCCAGGGGCACAGGGTCAAGGGTGAGTTTCAATTGCTCCCTCTACCTTCTCTACCTGTTAACTGTTCTCTGGACCAATTCTGAGAGTGAATTTTCCAGAAGCCACATGATGGAATGGTTTTCCTGGAGCTGGAGGAGGCGGAGACCCTGAACTTGAGCTCACCTCCCATCACAAGAGGCAAATTTCTGGGAATTCGGTGCCCACGTGTGTGGGAAGAGGACGCTGGGGGCTGCTGAAGAAGGCCAGGCGAGGGGCCCCACAGCTCCCCGCATACATCCTCAAAGGGACGCTGCACTCGGGGAGGGGGTAGGGAGCTCTGGTAGGAACTGAGAGAAGCCAGCTCTCTTCTCCCCTTCTCCTACTAGTATTTAAGAGGGACAGGTCCCAGGGATGAATCCTGGAGCCTTGAATTTTGCTTAAAAAAATAATTGTAGGTTTCTCTCTTTGTAATAAACGATGCTGCAAAAGCAGAGAACCTATTGATGCTTTTGTCTTACATGTACTGAGGACCATTTCTAATGCCTTTACTCCCTTCGTGTAAGTAAAGTGGAACTTTGCGCTCAAAGTTCCTATCAAGCAACAGAAAGGACTCCTAGGGGTCACCTACGTGGCTGGGTAGGTAGAGCATGTGACTCTTGAGCTCCAGGTTGTAAGTTTGAGCCCCTGGTTGGGTGTAGAGATTACTTAAAAATAAAATCTTTTTTTTTTTTTTTTTTAAAGGAAGGGTCCCTAGTGTGAAAAAATAGCAAAGGGAGGGGCTAGCTTCAACTCAGTGATCAGTTCCTTCTGGTCGACAGAGAGACCATCAGGGGCTCTAAGAGAGTGGAGGAGACCTTTGGTGACTTACCCCAAAGTCACAGGGGTTTGGTTTGGGATCAGGATTCAAATTCTCATTCCACAGCTTAGTAAATGGGTGATTTGGGGAATATTTTAAAAAGGAAAGAAAAGGAAGGAAGGAAGGAAGGAAGGAAGGAAGGAAGGAAGGAAGGAAGGAAGGAAGGAAGGAAGGAAAGTCCCTGACCCTCAACCTCAGTTTCCTCTTCTGTAAAAAGGGTTGTGATAGTAAGTATTTCATGGGAACGGCCAATATTAAGTGCCCTGTAAGTAGCCCTATACTAGGTGCTCAGTTAACATTGGTTTTCTCTGCCTTCTTTTATTAGGGAGCTCCATCATAGCCCGCAGCTTGTTTAAGGAAGGGGAAAGAGTGTGCTCCCTGTGCTGTTAGGTCCAGATTTTTCTCAAGCCCCAGGAGCTGGGAGCTAGAAAAAATTGGACAAATCTCTGGAGCTTTTGGTGGGAACAGGGAGAAACCAAGGTGGCAACCAAACAATATGGTCCTGCAGCTTCCTGGTCAATTCCTTACAGGCTGTTGGGCCACTCCACCCGAGGGAATGTGGCTCAGGGAAATTTATTACCAAAACAAATAGACCCATACAAGGGGGCCTTTGTTGGGTGGCCTCACCCAGGCCAGGGGGAGTTCTGAGGATGAGTGAGGGACACCAGGAGCTGGAGGGAGGGAAGGAAGGCTGGCTCAGGTGTGTTGTCTTCCCCAAGGCCTTTTTCCCCTATCCTTCCCACCACATGGAAGTTTCTAGGGTCCATCCAATTACTTAATCCATAAAGTATCCCACAGAGGAACTGACTTCCCCCACCCTGTCCTGTCCACTGTGAAGAGCCAAGGTTTACAGAGAGCTTACAACGGGCCAGGCCCTGTGGCAGGTACTCCAGGAGGTTCCTCATCCAATCCCCTCGTCACATGAGGGCAGGTGCTGCATCCCCATTTCCCAGCTGAGTTAGCTGAGGCGGAGAGAAGTGAAGCCATTTGCTTGCAATGGCAGAGCTGAGACTGAAGCTAGGGCTAGCCTGTACACATGACTCCTGCACACAGCCCCTTCCACTCTTGATTCTCATCTGTTTGGGGGATGGGAAACTGAGGCTCAGCAGAAAGGAGGGCAGTCACCTGCAGAAGGGGAGGTAGGGTCGGAGAGGGCAAGGTCTGGGGCTTGGAATCCTGATGCTGGCACCAATGGGGGAAAGCGAACCGCCTTCAAGACTGAGTGTCTTCTTGGGGCACCTGGGTGGCTCAGTCGGATAAGTGTCTGACTTTGGCTCCGGTCACAATCTCACAGTTCGTGGGTTCGAGCCCCGTGTCAGGCTCTGTGCCAACCGTTAGCTCAGAGCCTGGAGCCTGCTTCAGATTCTGTGTCTCCCTCTCTCTCTGACCCTCCCCTGCTCACGCTGTCTCTCTCTCTCTCTCAGAAATAAATAAAAAACAATTTTAAAAAATTAAAAAAAAAAAAAAAAAAAGACTGAGTGTCTTCTGAGACACCAGACTACAGGAACCTGCCACTTGAGCCCATCCTGAGGTTCCTTGAGGGAGGTAGGGCCTGGGGATGATGCTGGGCCCTGGGGTGACAAGCCCTGCCACATTGCCACCATTATCGCTCTTAGGTGAGAGGGTCTATGGCCCCTCTGCCTTGTGCGTGAGACCCTGCTCCAGCCTCAAAGTGATGTCCGCAGGAATCTTCCAGGGAGGCCCCACATACATCCCTAAGTTGGGGGCCGCTAGTAGGTGCATACTAAAAGCCAAGGGGAAATCTGGCTGCCAGGGAGTCAGTGGGAGGCCGCCACAAGCTTTCACGAGGCCGGAGGAGGAGGAACCGAGAGTGCAAATATGTGCAGGAGCTGCAAGAGGCTACGGGTTATCGACCACAGTTTCACTGGGACACGACCCAAGGCGGGGAAGGGGGAGGCAGGAGGGGCCGGCCAGAACTGGCCTGCGCTGCCCAGAAGGGGCCAACCCTGGGCGGCGGGCTCCCCCTGCTGGCCGCCCAACCTCTAGGGAGAGGAGGCGTGAGGTGGGAGGTGTGGCTTAAGTTCCCCACTTCCCCTCTTTCCTGGGGTCCGGGTGGTGTGCAGGGCGGAGGAGGAGGCCAGGCCAGGTTGCATATTAATATCGCACACGGCTGATGAAGTTTTATTACAGAGTTGGCACAGTGATTGTCAAAGAACAGGAAAGCCAGGCCCAAACCTAGGGGGTGGGGGACACACAGCTTCCAATAACAGGGCAAGGTAGTGAAGGGCACCTCCACCCCCCACCCCACCCCCCGCGCCCCGCGCCCTCTCCTACAACAGCCACAGGGTAGCGTTGTGCCTCCCTGCACTCAGGCTTCAGAGAGGGATCAGCACTGAGAGGGCCACCCTTGGAGGAGCCTGTTTGTGACACTGAGGCACAGCACACACCCACACAATGGAATGAAGCAGTTTACAGAGTTGGCAAGTTCAATGCCAACACGCACCGATAATAGATCTCTGATCCTGGCTTAGTCACAGCAAACATTTACCCAGCCTGGCTCCCCCTCCACAGCCTGTAGGCCATTCATTCAAGTTGTCATTGGTCACTAGGCTTGAGCTCAGGAAAAGTAAATACAGTTCAGCATAGGCCTCAGCCCAGACTGGATGAAGAATCCAATGGTGAGGATGGGAGGTCGTTGGTTTCGAGGTCAGGGCCACTGTGTCCGGTCATGGGGGAGGGGGTGTCTTTTTAAATGTAGAAACGGGGGGAGGGGTGGCTCAGTAGGTTAAGCTTCTGACTTCAGCTCAGGTCATGATCTCACAGTTCATGGGTTCAAGCCCTGAGAGTCAGGTGGGGTGCTAACAGCTCAGAGCCTGGAGCCTGCTTCTGATTCTGTCTCCCTCTCTCTCTCTCAACAATAAATAAAAGTTAAAAGAAAAAAAAATTTTAAGATGTAGAATGGGAGGCATGAGTCTGGGGCGGGCTCCCAAGTGGTACTGCTGCTGCCGGTCTGTGGCAAGGATCTAAGCCAGGGGCTCTCAACTTTTGGCTGCACCGAATTCCCTGGGGAGCTTTTAAATTTCCCAAAGCTCAGACCACACTCAGACCAGTTAAATCACATCCGATTAAAGCTCCCTGGGTAATCCCGGCCTGGATGAAAACCAGTGTCTGGGAGTAATCATCAGTAGGGGTGGCGGGGGTGGGGGGGAGACAGGTGAAGGGGATGTATGAGTAGTCAGCAAGGTATAATCCCTATAACAACTTTATACCTGGAAAATGAAATATACACGTGTATGTATCTATACACGCAGATATAGTTCTCATAAACAAGCACGGAAGATAAAGCTTGATTGAAATCCGCTGGGCTCATAGGTACCAGCACATGAATCCCTTCTATAAAACTCCTGACTACCTGGGATTGGATACTTTTAGAGACACTTGCTACCTCGAAGGTAGCCCATTCCCTCTTAGGCAGTCCTAGCTATTTGAAGTCTCCATGAGATGAAATCTACTGCCATGCAACTTCCACTTATGGTCCCTTTGGGGCTCCAGAGAATAAATTTAATCTCTTTTCCACTTTGTTGTGCTTCAGATAATGGGAGGCAGTTATCAGTAGGGTAGGGTGCTATAAAAATATCCTACTAAGTTAGTTAAGCCTCCTTTAGTTGCAAACAACAGAAATTGATTCTAGTTAGTTTAAGGAAAAACTACTTCCTTCCTAACTTCCTTCTTCCCTTCCTTCCCTTCTTCCCCTCCAGCCCCACAGGGATAGTGGGTGTTTTGAGGCTGGAAGAGGAACTGCACAACCTAGAGGTGGGAGGAGGGATCCAAGGTCACTCAGGGAATTTCAAGAGCAGCAGCTGGAGGCTGTATCTTCTTGGCTGCCACTAACGGCTTGGCTACACGGCCTCTCAGACTCAGGGTCTCTTCCTTTCAAATTTCACATTGTTGACAAGAAAAAAAACGATTGGCTAGACTGGCTTATGCCGGAACCAATTAGCTTTGAGTGGTATGACTCAGTCACATTAGTAACAGGGCAGATGGGGGCCTCCAGAAAAAGGGAATCACACCAGCTATTGCCTCTCGAGGGAGCTATTCCAGTAAATCATATTCAAGATCAAGAAAATAATTGTGGGATGCCCCCCCCCCCCCCGCCATTTCTGAGTCTCTATGCCACTGTTTACACTCCACTCCACCACCTAATTGAGAGCCAACTGAAAATACAGAATTCAGAGCTTGAACTCTGAAGAATCTTAAATAGAAGGGGCGGGGAGGGAAATGGGATGAGTTTAGAAGGGCCTGGCTCTCAACCCCACACCCTCTCTTAGCACCCAGCCTCCGGCTCCTGTCAGCACCAGCAGATCGGAAGTCAGGGTGCAAGTCTCTCATAGAGCCAGTCTTCCTCCCCCAGGTGGGTCATGGGCCCCATGGGGGAGTCTCCTGTTGGCAGGCCCCGCCGGAAGACGATCCGGTCATGCAGCCGGTTGGTTTGGCCTTGCCAGAACTCCATCACTTGCGGGTACAGGATGTAGCCGCCCCTTCAAGGAGAAGTGGTGGGTTTGTGCTCTGGGCATTTTTCCAGCAGGCCCCCATCCCAGGGACCCCCGCCCCCATCCCAGGGCCCCTTGAAGGAAGCTGCTGGGATGCATCTGCTGAGGACCAGGTATCACTCACCAGTATGTTGGCTTTGGCACCTCTTGCTCTTGGTAGAGCTGCTTCAGTTCCTCGTTTTTCTTTCTCAGATACTGTCCAGGGGAAGGAAACAAAGGAAGGCCCAGACCAGTGGGTGCTTCACATAATAACCATTTACTAGCTGGCATCCCCAGGTGACAGCCGCTGGGGAGGAGCGAAGGGCCCTGGCACCCGGGGCACAAAGGAGGAGCCCAACTCACCTCCCGATCTGGGATCACAGAACTCTGGTGACTGACCACAGCCCCGATCTGGCTGCTCTTGGGGCGGGAGCGGAAGTAGCACTCAGCCTCCTCCTCTGGCAGCTTCTTCACGGAGCCCTCCACACGCACCTGCTCGGGCATGGCCCCAGCTAGACGGCATTCAGCACCACCCGCCCTCCCCACAGGCCCCCTTCCTCTCTCTCTTCTCCTTACCTGCCGCCCCGTCACTGCTAGCCCCAACTAGACCAGCTCATTGAGAGCTCTTTGAGAGGTGGGCTGTTTGCCTGGCCTGGGGGCCTCCACTGGGCTCATCCCTAATGAGCCCCAGGCTGTCCGGGGAATGCTCACTCACCTGGCGGTTGAGGGGCTCCCAATAGAAGACGAGAGAAGCAAAGGGATTGGAGTCCTGGAAGCAAAAGAGAATTCATAGTCAGCCATCAGAACTGCAGGGAGGACACGTCCACATGCAGAAAGAAGGCAGGAAGTCTGCAGCACCCATGCCCACAGCGGATGCATTCACTACCGCATCTTATTGAAACCCTCAAAGGTGTGCCTACTTTTACAGGTGTGGAGATAGACTCGGGGAGGTTAAGTAACATGCTCAAGTTCACACGGTAAGTGGTAGAGCTATGCTGAAAACCCAAGCCATGTGGACTCCAACGTGAGTCTTGCCATTTCTCTAATCCATAGATTTGCAAGTCCTCAGAAATGCATCTGCGGCTGGCACGGACTCAGGGAGGGCTCCTCCTTTGGATTCATGAGTTGATCGCACAGAGAGTATCAGCTCTAGGCTTGATGCCAGGAGAGGGGCTGGGGGGGAAGAACAGAGATATAACAGACGCAGCCTCTGGCCCCCACAGGGCCTACGGGGGGTTTAGCAGAGGAGACAAATATGAAGCACACGATCACATAAATAAACCCACAATTATAAACCGAACAAAGGGCACAAGTAAAGCTAAAAGTTATAATGACAGTGAACAGTGACTGATGTAGCACAGGAATTGAGGAGGACTTTCCTGGGTCTGAGAGCTGACGGGACAGAAGGTAAACAGATGACAGGGGTGGTTAGAGAGAGCACTCATTCCCAGCAAAGAGAAGGGCAAGTGCAAAGGCCCGCAGGCAGGATGGTGCCTGAGCACAGACAGCAAGTGGGCTGGGGCAGGGATGGCATATGAAGGTGACGGAGGAAGCGAGGGCTGGACCCTGCAGGCCCGGGAGGATGTACTCTGAACCCTCACCAGCTCTCTTCCCTTTCGACTCTCGAAGTTAGTGAAGAAACGGAAGCCATCCTTGCCAAAGCCCTTCAGCAGCACCATGCGGGCGGAGGGTTTTCCATCTCTGGGGCGAAGACCGGAGCATGTGATCAGCGCTCATTTCACAGTCCCTGCTACCACCCCTCCCCACAGGTGCTCCCCTGAGCACCTCCCACCTATGCCCCTTATTTTGCACTGTCAGCGCACGCAGGCTACCCTGCGTTCCCACTTGCCCCTGGGGGTTTGTCCTAGAGGGGTAAGTATGACATTACCGCCTGGGGCCTGTTATGGACTGAACTGTGTCCCCCTGAAATTCTGTGTTGAAGCCCTAGCCCCTAGTGGGACTATATTTGGAGCTAGGGCTTTGAGGGAGGTAATTAAGGTTAAATGAGGTCATAAAGGGGAGACTGTAATTCAATAGGACTGGTGTCCTTATAAGAAGAGGAAGAGATACCAGAAAGATCTTTCTCTCCCTCCCTTTCCCTGCAGGCACAAAGGAAAGGCCATGTGAGGACCCAGCAAAAAGGTGGTCATCTACAAGCCAGAGAGGCCTCGTTAGGAACCGATTAAAAAAAAATTTTTTTTTAACATTTATTCATTTTTAAGAGACAGAGAGAGACAGAACACGAGTGGGGGAGGGCAGAGAGGGAGGGAGACAGAATCTGAAGCAGCTCCAGGCTCTGAGCTGTCAGCACAGAGCCCAATGCGGGGCTCGAACCCATGAACTGTGAGATCATGACCTGAGCCGAAGTCAGACAGAGGAGGTGTCTCATGGGGTATATGACTGATTGTTAAATAAATAACATGACCAAGCACTGTGCTAGATTTCAGGAGAGGGAGAGCTTTATGGAGAAGTTCCAGGAGATGTAGCTGTTTGTGTGTGTGTGTGTTTTCTAATGTTTATTTTTGAGAGCGAGCAAGCGAGAGAGAGTGTGCGCAGGGCAGTGAGAGAGGGGGACAGAGGATCCGAAGCGGGCTCTAGGCTGAAAGCAGAGAGCCCCAGGCGGGGCTCAAACTCACAAACCATGAGATCATGACCTGAGCTGAAGCCGGAAGCTTAACCCACTGAGCACCCCTGGGCACCCCCCAGGAGATATAGCTCTTAAAGGGCAGATGGGAATTGGGTAAATAGGGAGATGAGGGAGACAAAGGTGTTGGGGGTAGGTGCATTAAGAGCAGAGATGAATGAGGCACTATACTTTATTACTGAAATGGAATTAAGCGAAGTGTGATCTTGGTTTACAGGAAAGGGCGCTGAGGCCCAGAGAGGACAAGTAACACGCCTGAGGCCACACAGCATGCTAATAACACTGCTATAACATAAATTTGCATTCCATCAAGTTGCGGTTTCCTAAGTTTTCTACTTCATCCGTATCCACCCACAGGTGGGCCCACAGCTATGCCCACCTGGTACAGGTAGCTAGGCACATGGCATTGGCTTCCCCTATGTCGGGACACTGGACAGCCTCCTCAAACCAGGCAGCAAACTGCTTCATGGGGTCCAGGGAGGTCAGCTGAGTCTCCTCAAATGCCTGAGAAAGGAAAGTTTTATTTAATAAACATATACAGTGCTTACTGTGTACCTGGTACTGTTCCGGGCACTTTTCATATAAAACAAAACAAAAGAAAAGACCAGTACCCAGGTACTGCTAGCCTTATTTTACAGGTGAGGACAGAGGCAGAAACACATGGCATAACTTGCCAAGTCCCATAGCTAGTGATCGTTGACTCGGGGTGTCAAACCTATCACCTGGAGAGCATAAAAAAAAAAGCCACATTCCTGGGCTCCACCCCTCCTCCCCAAATTCTCTGTAGGTCTGAGGTTTAAGGAAAAACTACATGCTTAACAAGTACTTCTGGAAATGCTCACACAGAACCAGATTGAAAAAACGGTGGCTCTGGGCCCCAGTTCCAAAAACAATTCTGTTGGTTCCACCTTTGAGGAGGGAAAAGGAAAAGAACTTCTCGAAATCGAAATCGTGAGGGAAGGGGGTGAATCAGGCAGTGAGAACTGGAGCTTTCTCCTCCCCTCCTCCGTGAGACGGTACCCTCGCCCATGTGTCACTTATCAAATATTAGCTGATTATCACTGTGCTAAGCACTTTGCAAATATCAAAGTCCACAACGTCCCTGAGTAAGGTGCTCACTTCTCAGGTGAGGAAATTTTGAGGCCCAGAGGGGTTAAGTTATTGTCTAAGGTGATGCACCCCGTGAAGGGCAGGACTGCAGCCTGGGCCCCCTCCAGAGCTCGCACGTACCCACTATGCCCAGCCACCTCTTTTCATCCCTTTTCCCCAGAGCTCCTCGCCCTGTTGCTTGTCTTTGAACCCCCTTCTCCTACCCAGATGACCCCAAACCCACCCGGTGGCGTTCCTTCCCCTCCCATCCCCTCCCCTTGGGGGATGACGTGGGGACCCCTCCCTGCGGGAGGCCCTGCCGGCGGCCGCACCTCTCCGTCTCCGCGGTAACTCTTGCGCATCGGCCCCAGGTCCATGACGACACCACCACCGCACAGGTGGTGGAGGTCGGGGGCCACTCGGTAGGTCGCCCGAACGTCGCGGTGATGCCTCGCAGCCCGCACGTCAGGAGGCCGCCAGCCACGTGACCCGGCGTCGCCCGGCGCCGGGTTCCGTTGGGTTCGGAACCAATTTCTCAGGCCGGGAGTTTACCCGGGGATAGGAAGAATTCGCCAGTTGCCAATCCCGGCTAACAGGTCTTAAGTCCTCGGAACCAATGAGCGCTCAGGATCGGAGGAGGGAGCCAGGCGCGGAGAGGCCATTGGTTGGAGTTTTGCGGGAGCGAGGCCAATTAGAGCGAGAGCAGGAGAACCCAGTGGCCAATGGGCGGTGCCTCCGGGGGCGGGAGCAGAGAGACAAGGAAATGCTGTCACCGCCGTTAACACGCACGTGGAGGTTTGTTAAAGGTATAGGGACGGCTGCAGCCCAGGCGGGGGGCGGGGAATGAGTCACTGGGGGCTTAAAGGGAGTGGTCAGTGTTAAATGGCTGGCCTCTAGCAGGTGCCTGGAGGCGAGCCTAGCGTAGCCTGGAGGGAAGCTGGTGGGCAGGGAAAGGACAACTGGAAAATGGAGTTAGAGGCCTGACTCGGAGGCCAGGTGATGGAGAGACACAGGAGGGGCAGTTTGGTTGGGGGGAGAAATTGGGCTGAAGAGTGGGAGAGGTTGAAGTGAGTTGTGGATCACACAGGATAGGTGCTGTATATTGTGCGTGAGTGTATGTAGGGCGTGGGGGTAGGGTGGGAGTGGGGTTCTCTGGAGAGGGGGAGATGCGGTGGGGTCAGGAAGAGACTGTGGGGTGGGAAGGAAGACTGCTGAATGGAAAGGAGGGAAGAGAGACATTTGGGATCAAGCCATCTCAGACCAGAGCCATCCTCCTTGTCCAGCTCCCAACCCTGGGTTCTCCTTTCATGGTGCTCATGGTTTCTCCTTTCAGGGTGCAACGGAGTTCACATTAGTCAGTGTTCTGGTAGATGGAAAGGTTACCGCCGCCCCACCCCTCCTGGGCCTCCCTCATCTTAGCTAAGTTCTCCCCCCTTCACATTTTGCCCTTCCTAGGTAGTTGGAGTCTAGTTCCTAGGTCAATGCCAGCAATAACTGGGGGCACAGGGGAGCAGGTAGCTGTGCAAAGCCACTTCCAGGCTGTGGACACAGGGCTGAGAAATGGAAAACCTGCCAGTACCCATTCCGGCTTTGACCCGGCTGGGGCAGCCTTGGGTCAAGTCCTCTCTGTAGTCCTGGTTTCCACCAACATCAGGAAGGGGAGCTGCAAGAGCCATCTAGGCAGGCACCCCAGGACTGTGCCAGGTAAGGGGAACTTCCTGCCCTACCCACGTGTCTGCATTACCAGGTGCGAAGCTTCATAAGGCCCTTCATTAGAGACCTGTCATCTTTTATTATATGGTCGTAGCTTGAGCCAAATGGAATCTGGAAGACCAATTTGCTGCAATGAAATAATTCATGTCTCACGGCTTAATGATGTTGATCTATGGATTCTCAGCTGGTTGAAAAATTTTGCTACATCGTTTTCCTCCATCAACATGACTGAGGGAGTTGACTGGACTTACTTTCTTGTTGGGGCTGTCTTTCCACATGTGAACATTGCTGTCCTCTGCTGCTTCCAAGCAGGTGCACTTGAACTTGTGTAAGTGGTAATTAGCACCCTTCAACTCAGATGGTTGTGTTCCTGGGGCCACACTCTTAGCACTCCTAGGCTATGCTACTCTGGACCTGGGACTCTGGGAGAAGACCAGGATCATGTGAATGGCTTGCTTAAGAGCCAAGAGCTCAGCATAGATATTTATTCATTCAGTAGACATTTGTTTGTTAAAGACTTGTTTTGGATCAGGCACTGAGTTAGGTCTGAGAATACTGAGTTGAAGAAGGTGACATGCTTCCTGCCCACAAGGGGTTTGTAGTTTATAGGGCGAAGCAGATTTAAAGGCTGATGAGTTACAGGAACTGTTAAGTTATCTCTGTGAGGTAAAGGGGAGCAGAAAGGAAAAAATTGTCTCCAGGCGTCAGACAGTCAGAAAGGCTTCATAAAGGGAGCGGACATTTGATTTGTCTTATTGAGTAAGTGTTTGCCATTTAGACAGTGGAACGGGCATGTCAGGAAGAGGGAACGACGTGGGCAAAGGCGTAGCGTTAGGGAAAACGTGAGACAGTGTGATTCTCCTCGAGCAAGATGGTGAGGAACAGGCTGGACAAGTAGGCAGGGCTCGCGCACCTGCTGAAGATCGGGCAGTGGGAAGGGCCAGGCTTTCAGACAATGATTCTTTTTTTTTTTTTTTAATCCTTCTTGCTGTTGTTGAACCAGAGTGTCTACTAATTTCTGGTTTTTTTAAGCCCAGATGGAGAGAAAAAGTACTAGCTTCCAACAGCCTCTCCCATCCTCGGTGATTAGGCAGGAAGTTTGCAACTGGTTGCCTTTTTAGATCATCCCTTCTGTCTTGAAAATAACACGTAGGCTTGTGTTGTGCTTTTCTGCCGAGTGGGATTCGGTGTCTGGATCACAAAACAGCCCTGCGGCGCAAACTAGAGAGGGGCCGGCCCTGCTGCTACTGCTGAAACCCCAGCAGGGGCTTTGTCTGCGTGGGAGAAATGAATTTTTTATGGTTAACTGCTTTTTCTTAAACACTTTGCCACCCTCCTCCCTCCCCCAACTTTGCAACATTATTAATCTCTCCTCGGGAGAGTCTTAAATGAAAAGAGAACGTACTGTAATATTTCACTCTACAGAGGATGCACACTGGCTTCTCAGTATGAAACAAAGGGCTGGGTTCGGGTTTGGGGACTGTACCTCGCCTGTTTTCTTCCGGTGCTTTTGTACATATGTCCTTAAGTCACCTTGGGGTCTGATTGTTTGGTTGAATTACGTATTTCGCTTGGACCTTAGTGACTGTGTTTGGGCACCGGACTCGGGAGACCGAGTGGGTGGTGGGGAGGGAGGGCGAGGCAGTGGCAGGGAGATGTTGAGAGATTCCACGATGCTGCCTAAGAAGCTGGGAGCTGGGAGCCTGGTGTCGGAGTCTGGGGTGCGGCCGGCGGGGAGGGAATCCACTCACGGGGATAACTTGAGAAAATATGGGTGGTGCTGTTCGTTGAAGTGGGGCATGTTGGAGGAGGACGTTTTCGGGGGGGAAATGAAGCCCGTCGGACCCATGGAGTGTGAGGGCTTATGGAACACCGATGTTCCAGATTGAACAATCACGGCTGGAGAGGAGACCATCTTAGGGGAGGGGTCTAGGCTGATGAGACCTGGTTAATCATCTTGAGCCTCCGAAGTGGCACCTGAGGCCATGGGAGAGGACGAGAATGTCTGAGAAGGGAAGAGGGCCTGGGAGAATTAAGGAGGATTGGGGTGGGAGGGGGTGGGGTGGGGGAGGCCCAGGAAGGTGCCAATGATGCTGCTAAAATGCAGCGCCCAGCCTTCCGGGCAGGCCAGACGGGGTGTGCCGGGGGCCCTAAGCTCAGGCACTCATGGGCCCAGCCTTGGGTTGCACTGAGGACACACAGGAGGGTGAGTACTTGGTACTCTGCCAGCAGATACCTGAGCCCTGAGTAGTATGGTCATTGGGGGCCCCAGATGGGGGCCGGGTCCTCAGAGGCTTGCAGCGGGAGAGAGGAGGCTGACCCGAGCGTTCTGCCCGTGGTTGCGTGGCCAACCCCTCTAGCTAACACACGCTTGCGTGTGCTCCCGGATCACTCCCCCAACACGGCCATTCACGGGCAGCCCCAGACCTCATCAGAAGTGCCCTCATGGGAGGGACCACATCCCTTACTGTCTCTGGCTCCTACTCAAAATCCCAGCCAGGAAACGCTCTTCTGTAATGTTTATGCATACACTGCCTTTGTAAAGCTTCTCTGGACCCGGGTGCTGGGCGTGGTGAGGCGGGGCTTGGGGGCTTTTGGCGCTGGTGGGAGCAGGGCCGAGTGCCTTCCTTGCCTGGAGGGATGGTACGCTTTCCAAGGCTGAGTGCAGTGTCAGGCCATCAGCCGTGGCTGCCTGCCTTGGTCTTTGGAAGGTGGACCACAGGCGGCGGGAGGGGGCCTGATGGCAGGTTCCCAGGCAGGCCCAAAGGAATACGACTTGGTGGCTTCTGAGTTTCATCAGAGAAGTCCTGGTTGGCCCTTGCTTTTGGCCTCACCCGTGGTCACTGCTCATTTCCTCCCGCCCAGATTCTCTGCCCTGTCTCGCCGTGATTTGCCCATCCCTGTTCTGTAGTCCGTCTTCCCAGGAGGCCTCCTACCTCCTCCTCTCCCTCGTCGGCTCCTTCACTAGGAAATCTAGTTGCCGCCTGTCCTGACATGACTGCACTTCCTTCATCCCAACCCCGAAGACCAAGGTGGCGAATCACCAAGTTATGGTTCCTGGAGCCCACTGCCGTGTAGACCACAGCCGCATTCCATCAGCCATGAGCCCCCAGTGGGTACAGGGACCTGGGAGGCTGCAGGTGGCTTTTGGTCATTCTCAAGTGCGGGGCCTCAAAGGGCCCTCAGAAAGTGATTGCAAAGATGGACTGAGAAGTTTGAAAGAAGCCTGAGCTCTATTTGCAGGCTTAATATTTGTTTTTAAGGTATTTTGCCTGGATTTGCCTTTAGGAGGGAGGGTCTCAGAAAGGAGGGACCCAGTCCGCTTTCCTTCCAGGCTTGTAATTCTAGTATGTGGGATCCAAGAGCCGCAGTGTTGAGCATCACTGAGCAGAAGGGAGGGGGCAGTGAGGGGCGGATTTGATGCCAACGAGCCTGAGGAGGGAAGGGGGCAGAGGAGGGAACTTGGGAGCGTGACCCACACTCCTGAGCTGCTGGGGGTGGCCTGCCCCCAGATTTTCAGGGCTGAGCTTGGGCTCCATCACACTATCGATAGCCCCTTCCCCCTGCTACTCTCCAGCAACCTAAGGCAGATGAGGGTGGAGTTGCCACCCGGTCTTTTTGTTCTTTCCTTAGGCCACCGCCCACAGTAGGCAGAGGGCACGCTCCCACTCGCCGTCTGACTCAGGCATCCCACGGGAAGCAGAGACAGTCAGGCCTGCGTAGCTCCCCGGAGAAGGGAAGTCCTGAGTGCCAACAGGCAGTTCTGCTTGCCAGGGGGTGGCACCCTCATTGCCAAAGGATGCCCAGGAGTTGGGTCAGTTTCTGTGTACGAAGCCTTAGGCCCATGGCTTGGAATCAGCGCCCAGGAAAGGATAATTCTTTGTGTCCTAAGAGCAACGCTAAGGGCAGAAAGGGGGCAATTTCTTAATATTCCCCTTCTCTCCAGCAATCCCCGTTCAGAACACGGCAAGACACTTTTCCAGTCTTAAAACCCACACGTGAGGGAGAGAAACCCCCTCACGTCTTCCTCCTGCCAGTACGGCAATGAGGTATAGGATCGGTAGGCGCTGGTCGAGAGACTTCTGTGCCAGAGCACATTCAGCTGTTGGTCTGGTTTCCCCCCAAAGGGCTTACGTGCAGTGGTCGGGGGGCAGAGAACCCATGATCCGTCTGCGATCCTATCCTTTTCATTTCTTCTGACGTGAGGGTGGGCTGCCTCTAAGGAAAAGCTATCTGCTTGCCCATGCAGGCCACGGGTGACAAAGGAAACAGGGAGGGAATGGATGGCTAAAAAAAAAAAACAACAAAAAAAAACCTTGCCACTCTTGCAGAACAGCAGCCCTGGCTGTGTCCCTTGGAGGGTAAGAGGCGTTGTTAAGAGGAAAGCACATACTGCTCTCTGTGTGACTCACCTCTCCCTTCAGCCCAGAGGCTCCTCAGGCCCCTGCTAGGTTTCGGCATGTGCCCTGTTGCCCTCCTAGCAATGCTCCCCCAAGACCCCCACCAAAATGTCAAGAGCTGCAGCACATGTTAACACCGAAATCAACCTGCTGTCCTCTCCGGGGTGCTGGGGTGGGGAGCAGAAGGCAAACAGAATCTGAGGCCAGGGTTCTCTCTTGAGTAAAGCTGGGTTCCCAGCCCTCCACCCAGGAAGGGGATCTTGGCCCTTAGGGAACTGTCTTTTCTCCAGACGCTTTAGCCTCTGGGAAGGGGTTAAGCCAGGATCCCTCTGGCTCTGTCCCCCAGAGTAACAGTTCTTACTAACAGGTTCTGAGGCCAGGCCACTCCCTCTGGAGACCGGGGAGTGGAGGGAACGCGCTCGTTGATGAGGAGGGCATCGTTGGGACTCGAGTCTGCAGGCAGAGCGTGCCAGCTCTGATTCCTGTGGAGCTGGCTTCTAGAAGCGGGAACACCTACACCAGGCCCTGGCCCCTGAGGTCCCCCCCCACCACAGGCTGCTCTTGGGCCCTGTGCCAACGCCAGGAGGTCTGTGGCCACTGTCCTTTTCGGGCTCTGGCCAGGCTTTGCCCAGGAGGGCAGGTCCTGCTTCAGTCCCAGCGTGGATGGGGCGAGGGGCCAGGGCTCCCTTCTACGGAGGCCCCCTCTCCAGGCTCTCTTTGGGGTAAAACAGCAAAGAAGCTACGCTGCCAACTTGCAGATTTTGCCTCAGGCAACTAAATTTATTAGCAAGAAAAAAATTTTTGTCAGCCCAGTGCTGACCAACAAAGTACATCGTTAATAAAGGATAACAAATCTGTCACTTAATTCATAAAACATACCTCAAGCAGTTACAACTAAAAATAAAGTTGGATTTTTGTTTAATTTAAAAGCCTCAAAAATAACAAGCAATATGTTTTTAAACATGTAGTAGACACAATTGTCTATTATACAATATACACTGTACACAAGCAGGGCTGAGGCCAGCCGGGGCGGGCTGGGGGCAGAGGGCAGAGGGTCAGGAGGTGGAGGTGTTCTTATCTGAATCCAGATTCGAGTTGAAATGCTGTGTCTTTTACAAAAGAGAACTGCTAGAGAGAGAAAACCCCCGATGCCCCTCACGGTCCCCCAAACCCTAAACTGAAGCAGGCGTGGGGGAGGCAAGTAACGAGGACAGGAAGAAGGGAGCAATTAAATAAAACTTTAAAGCACACACAATACACAGTGTTCATCATCTGAAGTAGAGTATAAGGCAACGTTCTCCATAGAAAAAGAGGGCATCAGTGGATAGCTCGACTTTTTAAATAGAAAGTTGGAATGTGCTGGAGGAGGGCGGTGGCAGGGCTCGGCATGTGGCATGAGGCAGCCCCGTGAGCCTCCCCGGAGGTGGATGCCAGCTTGTGCCCTGGGGACAGGGTCCCAGGGCGTCCTGGGTGGCTGTCAGGGGGCCGGGGAGGGGCAGGGGAGAGAGAGGGGCATGGCACAATGCGACTCCGGCAGTGTTGGGGGGATTGGGCTGGGGGGGGCTCACTTTGCTCCTCGACGGAGTGAAATTCATGTTTTTCCTTTGGAAATAAGGGTTCCCATTCGTCCTGGTTTAGAACGTCTCATGGAGCACGGCCACTGCCCACGGTCAGGGCAGGCCGGAGCTCGAGGTGAGAGGGAAGGGCCAGGGCAGAGCCAAGGGGCTTCAGAAGGAGGTGAGCACTGGGCGACGGAGCCCCTTCCTATGGGGACGGTCGCAGAACAGAAGGGAAGGGCCGAGGGTGGCCCGGGGCAGCCCAGAGCCACCTGTCCCCCAGGGGTCCAGACAGGACACAGACGGGGGACTGTATCTTCGGGGCCTCCCGCCTCAGGTGGCCTTACAAGTTCTTCGTGACCAGGTGGGTCTTGTAATGCTTGGTGAGATGGTCACTCCTCATGAAGCGCTTCTGACACTGGGCACACTCGAAGCGTTTGTCCCCTGGGGAAGACGAGATGCTGTCACTCAGAGCCCTCGTGCGGGGACACTGTCCCAGCCCGGAAGAGGGGGTGCATGTGAGGTGTGAGGGGCACCCTGTAAAGCTGGCGTTGCACTGTCATCATATCCTGTGTACACACTCGCTCCCTGTGCTCGACTCACCTCAACCCTCCGACAGCTGACATTTCTCTCCACCCCCCGCGGGACGTCACTTCCTGGTCTACTCTGTTCCCCTTCCTCGTCCCTTGCCTGAAACGCTGTACTTGTGCCCCTGTACCTGCACCTAGGACTCGTCCCAAGTAGGGCTGTCACCTGGTTCCTTCTGATCTTTGTCCCTGTGACTGACCCCGGCTCCACGTCTTCCCCTTCCTTGGAAACACCCCACTCCTCACTGACCTGTCAGCTGCCATTCTGAGTATTTACTCTTCAGCCCCTACGGGGTGGGGGGGCAGCAGGACCTGCCCCCTACCCCCAAAGGCCAGGGGCCATAGCTTCGGGTCATGTGCTCCAGCCCCAGGCCCAGGCCAGGGGTCTGCTCCTTGGAGGCACTCGCTCTGGCACAGTGGTTCTCAAAGCATGTGCCGCGGGCTGCTGGGGACATCCGCGACAGCGTCAGGTAGGAGACGAGGAGACCTGTTCTATTTTACAGTTTTGCATTTATTTGCCAATGCACTAAAATATGTAACTGTTATCAAGCCCGTGGTGCCATAAATACTTCACTGGACATAAAAGACTAAAAATAGGGAAACAAGTTGAGGAAAACCACTTGGTAGATGAGAGTAGCAGAGGCAGTGTGGGGTGGTGATTAATAATAGCATGGAGCTGGGGGGCTCAGTCAGTTAAGCGTCCAACTCTTGATCTCAGCTAAGGTCATGAGCTCATGGCTCATGAGACGGAGCCTCGCGTTGGGCTCTGCGCTGACAGCTTGGGATTTTCTCTCTCCCTCCCTCTGCTCCTCCTCCGTTCATGCTCCCTCAAAATAAATAAATAAACTTTAAAAAAAAAGAAAACAGAGTGTTGACCTGGGAACCAGAGGGCCTGGTGACCAGGCCACCTCCCCGTGTCTCAGAACCCTCCCCTCAGAGTCATTCCGAGGATTAAATTAGTTTGTTGATAGGAAGCAGGACTTGTTGACTAGATAAGTGTGCGGTACGGGTACAGCAGACATCGTTGAGGCTGCACGGCACCAATGCCTCTCTCTGGGAAGCACTACAGTGAAGGACTGGCCTGAAGGAACTTACTGGGTAGGCCTGGGGCCCCCGAGAACAGCGCACGGCTCTCACTGGGGCCAGGGACGCCGATGTCGCCGAGGACAGTGGAGCGGGCGGGGGGAGGACATACCTGTGTGGGTGCGCGCATGCCGCTGGAGCTCGTCGCTCCGTGTGAACCTCTTTCCACAGAAGAACCAGTTGCAGACAAAGGGCCGCTCGCCGGTGTGCAGGCGCACGTGGGCCCGCAGCAAGGACGTCTTGCGGAAGGTCTTGCCGCAGTCGGGGATGTGGCACACGTGCTTCTTCTTGCCCTGCTCCCCGGACCTGGGTTGAGGGTGGGGATGGAGGGGGTGGGAAGCCGAGAAAGGGAGGAGGCAGAAGAGGGGGGCAGGACAGGTTGGAGAGAGATGTGAGGTCAGGTCAGGTCAGAGGGCACAGGAAAGGGGAGGGGGACAGGTGGCCGGCAGCTGCTACCTCACCCCTCTCCCGTCTGGGTCCCGGAGAAGGGCCTGGGAACAGGGCACGCGCCCCCCCCTCCCCAATCACCTCTTGTCCCCATCCTTGCAGTTGGGACACGTGCAGGCCATGCGGCGCCGCTTCTCCCCGGGCTGGGCCTCTCCGGCCAGCGCCTGCTCCATCTGCAGCTGGATCTGGGTGGGGCTCAGGCCGCTGATGGTCAGGTTGTTCCCGGAGACGTTCTGCACCGTCAGCTGCTGCTGCCCTGTGGCCAAGAGGAGGGCGCGGTTCAGGGGAAGGCGGCCTGGAACCCCTCTTCCCTTCTGGGCACGACAAAGGGATCATCGGAGTGGCTCATACTTTCGGGAGGCTGTCACGTGCCAGAAACCATGTTAGAGACTTTAAATGCATTAACTGATCCAACCTTCATGACCCCCTACATTAGATGCTGTTATTCCTCTTCCATAGTTAAGGAGGCTGAGGCTCAATAGCATATCAAGGTCACAGCTAATAATCAGTAGAACCTACATCTGAGCCCATCGGAGGCTCGACCTCCGAGCCAGTGTCCTGAATAGCACACTATGCAGGCAGAATTAGGTGTCAGGCCCTGCCCAAGTGACCTCAGTGGGGGAAAGGTCTTGTCCTGAGTGGTCTTGGAAGTGTTTCTTCAGGAATGCCTCCAATCTCAGGCCCTTATTAGATACCAACTCTGCTCTCAGGAAGGTCTCTGGGGAGTTTTGTTAAGAAGAGTGAGGAGGGGCGCCTGGGTGGCTTAGTCGGTTAAGCGTCCGACTTCAGTTCAGGTCATGATCTCATGGTTTGTGAGTTCGAGCCCCGCATCAGGCTCTGTGCTGACAGCTAGCTCAGAGCCTGGGGCCTGCTTCAGATTCTGTATCTCCCTCTCTCTCTGACCCTCCCCTGCTCACACTGTCTCTCTCTCTCAGAAATAAATAAGCCATTAAAAAATTTAAAAAAAAAAGAAGAGTGAGGAAACGGGACAAATCAAGTCCTCTACAACTTGCATAAAGCCATTCAAAGCGTGGGGAGTGTCACTGACCCAACACTGGTGTCTCTCAGGGGATTCATCCTATGTCACCAAACCAGATGCGTAAGGTGACATAAATTCATTTTAAGTATGAGAGGAGATTCGGAGAGCTCCCAGTACCTTGAAAAGTGCTCCTCACCCAGCTAAAGAATACTCACCAGGGGGCACCTGGGTGGCTCAGACAGTTAAGCCACCGACTCTTGATTTTGGCTCAGGCTATGATCTCACAGTTTGTGAGTTCGAGCCCCCACATCAGGCTCTGGGCTGACAGCATGGAGCCTGCTTGGGAGTTTTTCTCTGCCCCTCCCCTGCTCATGTACTCTCTTTCTCTCTCAAAATAAATTTTTGAAAAATGTAAAAAAGAAAATAACACCCAGCTAAAGTGCCAGGAACCATTTTTGCTTGGTAGCTCCCATGTTCCTTTGATTATGTGCAAGGACCGTTGCACTGTCAATCCTGCCCAATATGACCACCTAGCTGAAGTGCAGCTCAGGCCATTCCATCCGCCAGAGGCTCCCTCCTTTCCTTCTAACCATAACTCAAGGCTGTCTCCTTCTAGAAGCCTTCTTTCAAGTCCCTTTACATGGAACCTCCCTGGAACATCTCTCTCTGGTCTGTACCAGGCTAATTTGCGCATGTGTATTAGTTGGAGAGCTTTCCCGGGTACATCTTATTTCTCCATCATTTTCAAGGTCTTCAGCTGGCAGGTGGGGCCAACATGTGTCTTAAACTATCTCCTAGGACATCTGTAAGGACCAAGTGGACCTGGTCTAGAGCTAGAGGAGGCCAGGCAAACGATGGGCAGTATTCTCGCCGTGGGTACGGGGAAGCCCAGGCTGGTGCGCACCATGGCCCAGGGGCCCTCCGTCACCTCCGGTGTTGGTGATGGTGACAGGCACGCCCTGGACCTGGACACCGTTGATGTTGATGGTCTGCATGGCCTGGGCCGCTGCCGCCAGCTGGGCTGCATTCAGGCTGATGATGCTCCCGGCAGGGGCGATCTTTGGCAGGGGGCGCTCTTTCCGGAGAATTGCGGCAGAGTGCTTTTTGCTGGTCCCACTCAGATGGGGAGCACGGGACGCAGGGCTGCTACAGGTGGTGGCAGAGGTGGCGGCAGCTGTTGTTGGGGGGCTGTCCTGGACGAGGACCGTCTGCACCTCACCGGAAGGCGTACGGATGTAGACCTGGGAAGGGCCAGAGAAAAAGGGTCAGTGCCCCAGAGAAACTGGGTGCCCCGCACTTTGAATAGTGTCACCCCCCCACCCAAGTGAGAAGTGGGGTGCCTCTTCATCCACCCAAGTCTTCTCCAGCTGGCCCAGACCTACATTCACACATTGTCGACGGCATCCCCATACTAAGGTGGCAAATGCCGACGACTGATTGGAAACCAAACACCGAATTTCCTCAGCATGGAAAGATACACCAACCTCAGAAGTAGAGAATTAGAAGGGAACTAAATGGGAACTTCACAAAAGATGCACCATGAATGACCGCCAAACGACAAGAGCTCTTAGGAGGCACGGCCGACAAGGGACAGTTGTCCTCCGCCTCAGGTTGACAAAGATGGAAAAACGAAGTATGATGCAGCAGGGAAACAGGCGCCCTTACATCAGGAGCAGGAGTGTGAGGTGATCTGGGCTTACTGGAGGGAAATGTGGGAACGTGTATCAAAAACCTTAAAAATCCGCACGTCAGAGCATGAGTGAGACGAGGAGGGCATTTGGTGGGGCAGTGATGACAGCAGCCTGGCATGGGTGTCACAGCCCCAGCAGGCTGAGAACCTGTCCACATGGGAGAGCTGAGATCCAGGGGGCCGTGATCCAGAAAGGACTACTTTCAGGCTAACGGAAGTGAGGTCTCTCACAGAAGACGGTTACAAATATGGAAAGGGAGCATCTAGAATGAAGTGTGTGGCACTGGACAGGAATCAGAGGTACTGGTGGAGACACTTGGTTTCAATATAGAGACATGAATGTGTGATATATATGTAGGTATGTGCATGTCCGTATCTTTATGTAGGTATCACATATGTGTACATGTGTACTTCTGTATGTTTATGTACACTTCTTGGCTGTGTCCACCGAGAAGGGCCAGGAGCAATACTCCAGGGGCAATGAGCGCACCCAGCACCCAGGTCTTAGCTTCTAAATCTCATGCTCCACTAAAAGGAACCAGGGCTCCTTGGAGAAAAAGCTGATTCCAGGATTGGGGGCACGGAAAGTGCAAGAAGAACTTGGACCACCTGTTGTACCAGGAAGTAGGAAGGTGTAAGGATGGTGGTATCATGGGAAAAGGACACAGGAGCCAGCCTGAGGGGGCCCCCACTGGCCAAATATGAGATAACTTGAACATCAAAATAATACTACTAATGGATTATAACCCACTGAATAAAATGGGAACCTAATAGTCCCTATTGACATAAATAAACAAACGGAGACGGGAATGGTATGCTTTCCAGTAAGAGCCAGGACTCCTGGGAAGAAGGATCCATCCCAGGGCTGGGGCTAGGGAAATACAAGGCATAAAGGACCTGCTACAACAGGGATGGGCCTTGAAAACATTATTACTAAGTGAAACAAGTCCCTTGCAAAAGCTCACCCATTGTAAGGTTCCATTTAATGAAATATCCAGAATAGGCGGATCCATAGAGATAGGAAATGGATTAGTGGTCACCAGGGGACTTAGGAGAAAGGGGAAGGGAGAGGTGGCCACTAAAGGTACAGGGTTTCTTTTTGGGGTGATGAAAATGTTCTAAAACCAGACAGTGGGGATGGTTACACAACCCTGTGAACATACTAAAACCTACTTTAAACCTACCGAACCTACACTTTAAAGGGTAAATTTCATAGTATGTGAATATCTCACAGCTGATTTAAAAAAGAAAAGGATGGGAGTATGTCAGAGGATATACAGGTGAACCTGAAAGAGCTCCAAATGGCCATGGGTGGGACCAATGTGAGTAACAAAATAAATAACGTGGTCCTGGATTATAACCCAAAGTAGAAGATAACTATACATGAGTCCCTCTATTGCTAGAACTAAATAATTGAATAAGTAAATAAAGAAGAAAAACTTCGTCTTTATAGAAGAATTCTAAATAATATTATGTAGATACTTTCTCTTCCAGGATGCAGAGCTTAATTCTTAACCCCGAGTTCCGCCCTGACTATGGGAGACTTAGCAACTCCCTTCCAAAGAACAGAGAGGGGTGCCTGGGTGGCTCAGTCAGTTAAGTGTCCATCTCTCTCTCTCTTTTTTTAAATGTGTATTTATTTTTGAGAGAGATAAAGCACAAGCAGGGGAGGGGCAGAGAGAGAGAGAGAGGGAAGGAGAACACAGAATCTGAAGCAGACTCTGAGCTGTTCGCACAGAGCCTGACGCGGGGCTCGAACTTATGAACTGTGAGAACATGACCTGAGCCAAAGTCGGAGGCTTAACCGACTAAGCCACCCAGGTACCCCAAGTGTCCATCTCTTGATCTTGGTTCAGGTCACGATCTCATGGTTCATGAGTTTTAGCCCCACATCGGGACAGTGCAGAGCGGGCCTGGGATTCTCTGTCTCCCTCTCCCTCTCTGCCCCTCCCCGGCTTGTGCACACGCACATGTTCTCTCTCTCTCAAAATGAATAAATCAATAAACTTAAATTTAAAAAAAATACAAAAAACAAAGAACAGAGAATGGGAAAAGTAGCGACTTACAATGAAGAGACCTAGCAAATGCCACCTTAACCAGTGACAGCATGTGGACATCATGTACTCCTCATATAAGATGATCAGAGGGCCATTTCACCTCTGTAGGATTCTTTCCAAAAACCCGTAAGCCCAGATTGAGGGACATTCTGTAGGATACCTGACCAATACACCTCAAGACTCAAGATCATGGAAAATAAGGACGGAGAAGCTATCACCTGAGGGGTTCAGGGCAATGCGCCCGCTAAGTGCACATGGTATGTGGATTGGGTCCTGGGACAGAGGAGGACATAAATGGAAAGACTGGTGACATCCAGATCCAAGTTTGGAGTGAGTTAACAATCATGTGCCAATGTAAGTTTCTTAGTTTTGACAAACATACCTGGTAATGTGTGATGTTTGACCCTGGGGGAAACTCAAGTGAGAGGTAAACAGACACTCTCTGCACTACCTTTACAACCTTTCTGTAAATATAAACTTATTCTAACATAAAACATTAATTTTAAGAAAATTTCTTATAATAAGTTGCTAAAACAAGTGCGCAAAAGTCTGATGAGGAATGGGATATTTACATAATCTCAAAGTATCTCCCTACAAAACACTACTTCATTACAAAGAAAAAAAGGTGCAGAAATCTGGCGAACATCACTTTAATTGTCACCAATAGGGAGACAAACTGAAATCATGCACCTCTTCTAGGATACAGTGAGAAACAGCATAGCATTACTTCTGTGATATTTCGGGGGGGGGGGGGAGCACAACCCACAGGTCATGAGCAAACATCACACAAACCTGAACTGAGGAACATTCTACAAAAGTGTCAGGGTCGGGGCGCCTGGGTGGCTCAGTCGGTTGAGGTCATAGCTCAGGTCATGATCTCACAGTTTGTGAGTTCGAGCCCCGTGTCAGGCTCTGTGCTGACAGCTTAGAGCCTGGAGCCTGTTTTGGACTCTGTGTCTCCCTTTCTCTCTGCCCCTTCCTCCCCCCTCAAAATTTAAAAAAGTGTTTGTTTGTTTTTTTTTTAATTAAAATTAGGGGCGCCTGGGTGGCTCAGTCAGTTAAGCAGCTCACTTCAGTTCAGGTCATGATCTCACAGTTCGTCAGTTTGAGCCCTGTGTTGGGCTCTGTGCTGACAGCTCGGAGCCTGGAGCCTGCCTCACGTTCCGTGTCTCCTCTCTCTCTGCTCCCCCCACCCCACTTGCATTCCGTCTCTCTCTCTCTCAAAAATAAATAAACATTAAAAAAAAAGTGTCAAGGTCATGAACATCAAGTTAAGACAGGGAACTGTTCCAGACCGAAACAGGCTAAGGAGACATAACAACTACATGCAATGGTGGGAGATTCTTCTGCCATAAGGGAATTATGGGACAAGTGCTGAGACCAGAGGGAGTCTCTAAACTAGACACTAGCATGTTCCGTCGCTAATTTCCTAGGTGTGATGGTTGTACTGTTGTCACGTAGAACATCCTGCACGTACTAATGAGACAGTTTCTATAAAACATTTGGAAGTGACAGGGATTGTGGTGGCAACTTACACTCAAATGATTCAGGGGCAAAAAGTTACTTGTTAAAAAAAGTCCTGCTGGGACTTTGATTAGGGCTATTTTTAAATTCCTGGGTTATCTGGGACTGTGTTTCTCAGTTAAAAGCAAAGAAACAGATCTTCAAGCATGTCTTAATGAATACACAACTCTCATCCCCAGTTTTCTCGTATGTGCCCCTTTTGCGTATCATTGCTATTTTCTGTGTTATCTGAAGTTTCTGTTACTAGAACATTTTTTTGTTCATAATGTAGAGCAGGGGTCAGCAAACCACTTCTGTAAAGGGCAGATACTAAATATTTTAAACTCTGCAAGTCACCATGAGGTCTCTGCCTTGTAGTGCAAATGCAGCACAAATGGACATGTCTGCTTTCCAATTAAACTTCATGAATGAAAGCAGATGGGTGGCCCAGATTGGACCGTGAATTGCCCATCTCTGAATCAGAATATAACGCCTTTTAAAAAAAATGTCCATATCCTTTGCCCCACTTTTAGGAATGTATTTAGCTAGAAGACTGGAAACTGCCTGTATCTACACTTAACAGAGTATGAGTGGTAAAATATACAGCACCTCAAGATACTGGAAAACTATTTTATCTTTGAAATAATGTTGTAGGGGCACCTGGGTGGCTCAGTTGGTTAAGCATCTGACTTTGGCTCAGGTCATGATCTCACGGTTTGTGAGTTCGAGTCCCACACTGGGCTCTCTGCTGTCAAAGCAGAGCCCGCTTCAGATCCTCTGTCCTCTCTCTCCACCCCTTCCCCACTAGTGCTCTCTCATTCTTTCAAAAATAAATAAAGACTTAAAAAAATATATTAAAAAAACAATAAAATAATGTTGTAGCTAAATCTACCCGAATATGCATGATTATTTCCTTAGGAACACCTAAGGTTTAAGGTTTAAGCCCTGCCTCCATCAATCTCAAGATACGGGGCCTCAGGGAAGAGAGGGGAGGTACTGCCAAGGATGTGTGCACTGAGCGGGTATCACCTCAGTTTCTCTGTAAGGTAGAGCTGATAATGATACCTCACAGAGTATAATAAGTAAATTAATCAATCTAAAGAAAATCACTTGACAGTACAAAATATGCCAGAAGAGGGGAGGCATTCCAGGGCAGACCTCAGATTCCCTCCTGTGTGCCTCCCATGTCCACAGGTCAAACTCAAGGGCACTCCTTTTCTACCCAGGAGAGGACACAACTCCCTGCTCTCACTGACTGTGATGTCGTGGTTCTCTCTTTCTCTCTAGACAGCTGCATTATAAATTCCTCGATGGCAGCAGCTGTTTTCTTACATTAAACAAAATCCTTGTCCTCAACTTTAATTGTAGCACCTGCCACTGAGATCCAGCAAGTCAAAGTGAAAAGCAGAAAAGAGCACAGGCTGCGAAGTCAGCACTTGGAGTTGAATCCTGGCGCTTGTCACCTGTGCCCCATGAGCTCCTGGAAACTTCCTAACCTCCCTGAGTTCCAGGTTCTCCATCTATAGCATGGGCACACTCCCTGGCACTTAGTGGGCATACACAAAGAATAAAACCGCCTCACAGAGCCAAAGAGATTCCAGAGTAATACAGCACCTTAATAAAAGCCCCCAATGAGGAGAAGGGGAAAGAAATAGTTGGGGAGAGGGAAGGAGGCAAACCATGAGAAACTCATGAATACTGAGAACAAACTGAGGGCTGATGAGGGTGGGGGAGAGGGAAAGGGGGGTGATGGGCATGGAGGAGGGCACTTATGGGGATGAGCACTGGGCACTATATGGAAACCAACTTAAGAATAAACTATGAAAGAAAATAAATTAATAAAAGCCCCCAATAAAAACATTCTTGCTGATGGGGCGCCTGGGTGGCTTAGTCGGTTAAGCGTCCGACTTTCGCTTAGGTCATGATCTCGTGGTTCGTGGGTTCGAGTCCCGCTTCAGGGTCTGTGCTGACTGCCAGCTCAGAGCCTGGAGCCTATTTCAGAGTCTGTATCTCCCTCTCTCTCTGACCCTCCCCTGCTCACGCTGTCTCTCTCTCTCTCTCTCTCTCCTAGAAATAAATAAAAATATTAAAAAAAAAAAATTCTTGCTGAAGTTCTTAGCATCACAGATGAATCTAGTCTAAGAGTCCCTGTCATCAAGCTGGCCTGCATCTCCCTATTTTTTTCTCGTCATTAACAATGACCAGAATTTTCTTGCCTTACATCAAATTCTATGGTTCTGACTGAAATTCGTTTCATTCTTGTATTGTGCTAAGTATGCAGTTCCATAATAATTTTTTAAAAACCCTTTATTATTAGAAAGTATGTTATCTGCCCCCTACCCATCCTCCAAAAACGACTCCCCAAAAGGAAAACTGGACCACAGTACAGGTGTTCAGGGATATCCTAGCTTATTTCTAAGGATGAGATGTACTCAGCCCTGTAACCGAAGAGAGCCCATTTGTCGGCCAAAACGGCCACTTCCTGCCCACCCCAGATGATGCTGACTTCTAGCACTCAGGTCAAGCAGGGAGATGCGTCAGCACCATCTTCCAGAGCAAGCCCAGGGGGAACGGAGTGTCAGCCATTCAGAAGGAGAGGGAGGCAGGTGCAGAGGGTGAGTGTGGTACCTGAGTAGGTGTCGGCTCAGCCGCCTGGATCTGAAAGTTCTGGGAGGGCTTCTGGGGGACGGTGGGGAGGGTGGCAGATGCCGCCTGCACCACCCGCAGGGCCTGCTGGGGGATCTGCACCACCTGTTGCTGCTCGGCCTTGGGGGGCACCACCTGGACCTGCTGGACCACGGCCGGCTGGCCCCCGCCAGGGCTCTGAACGATAAGCAGGTTGTTTCCTGCCTGGATGATGTTGTCCGCGGTGGTCTCGATCAGCACCGTCTCCACCTGCTCAGCCACAGCCACCGGGGGCTGTGAGGCAGGCAGACTCTTCTTCCGGGCTTTCTTGTTAGTCTTAGACAGTGGTGTGGGGGGGCTCTCCGTAAGGAGTTGAGTGGTGGCCCCAGAGTCACTGGTGTTCACAAGGTTGTTGACGGGCAGTGTGAGCGTCACGTTGCCGCCCCCGCCTGTCAGCTTCACCACATTGGCGCCACTCTGCACAGGAGTGGTAGTCGTACTCGACTTCTGGACAGGGGCCGGCTTGATGGGGACAGGCTTATGGCTGGACGGCGAGGGGGTGATGATGGCTTGGCTGGTGCCGGGGATGATCTGGATCTGGTTGGTGAGGCCGGGCTGTACCTGGATGGTCTGGGAATTGCTCGCCTGTATCTGAGGGACCGCCTGGTACTGGATATTGGCATTTGATCGGGTCCCTTTGTTGATCACCGTGGGGTTCTGGATGGCAAACACCAGCTGCCCCCCAGGATAGGATGCGCTGAGCTGTGACCCCTGAATCTGAAGGATGTTTCCTTTGGAGGACAAGATTCCAAAGCTATTCTTGCCAGGACTGAGAGGGAGAGGGGCAGGTTTGATGGGGACGAGTTTCCGTGGCGTGGGCTGAGGGGGAGCAGGAGGCGTCACTGCAGCTTCAACAGCTGGAGGGCCGATTTTGCTACATGTTGCAGCAAGCAGGGCTAGAGGAGATGGCTGGGAATCCTGCGAGAGAACAGGCGGAGAGAAAGTGAGGCGGGAGCTCGCTGCCCAGCCACCCTCTGCCCTGCGCCGTCCTTGGCAGGCTCTCCGCCACGGCTGTGGTAGGCAGGGTGCCGGCATCTTCCCCCTCCCTGCTGGCTCCTCTTCCTCTCAGGGAGAAAGAGTGGGCAATGCCTTCCTCAGGAAGGAACTCTCCAGAAGCCCCCAGGGCGGGGTAAACTAACACTCTTACTTCCCACTATCCTTGTTTCTTAGGGTTCACGAAGCCATCCATCCTCAGCTCTTAGACAGAAGTCCATGGGCCCATCACAGGGGAGAAGGGGACACTGATTCCTCAGCTAAGGAAGGGCTGAGGAGGGGAGGGAGGGAAAGAGGGAGGGAGGGACAACAGGAAGAATAAACACTCTGGTAAAGTGGGGAGGGCTGCTCTTTCGAGGCTACAGGGACAGAGCCTCTGGAGTGTGGGGACACAGCCTCTCTTTCCCTTTTATGGTCAGAGGGTCTGGTGGAAGGGACCTTGAGTTTAATCTTGCTTTCCCCCCGGCTCGACTGTGCTGCCTTAGGTAGGCAGCCCTGGCTTCTTAGTTCAGAGAAAGGAGACAACCGAGCCTTCCTGGTCTCATATCCCAGGGTGTTTATAGTGAGAGTGAGCCAGTACAGAGCTCTCGGCTGTGGTTTAAAGTCAGCTTCAGGGAGCACTTCCGGGCCAATGCAGCCCCCAACCCTCATAGCCACTGCCACTCACCTGGGTGGTGGAGGCGGCGGGCTGCAGGTAGTCACTGGGACTGACAGCGGCAGTGGCAGCCATGCTCGTCTGTGGACCTGCTGGAAGGAAAGAGACAGAGCAATGCTTAAGACGCCCAAACAGAACGCGAGCCCACCGGGCTCAGATACGCTTTTCGCCTCCTTGCTGCTGCTTCTCCAAGAGAGATTAATCTTTACTCGCACCTCCCCACTCAAGATTAGCAACCCTACACTGTTTTGGTTTTTTTTTTAACCATTATTCATTTTTGAGAGACCGAGCATGAGTGAAGAAGGAACAGAGACAGGGAGACACAAAATCTGAAGTAGGTTCCAGGCTCTACTGTCAGCACAGAGCCCAACGTGGGGCTCGAAATCACTGACCACAAGATCATGACCTGAGCTGAAATTGGGACGCTTCAATGACGGAGCCACCCAGGCTCCCCGTTAGTAGATAACCTTCTCTCCTCTCCTCCAACTTGCCCAGCTGTGGCTGTGAGGACAGCCCGTCCTGTCTCCAGCCATCAGACAGCCTAGGATGACATGAAGATACGAGACTATACCAAGAGCAGCTTCAGTCACCGAATGGAGCTCTCTCTACAAGGTACTGGTGACTCTAGATCAGAATCCCTATTTGGTGGGCAGAAGAGCCCTCCCCCCACCACCGCCGCCCAGCTGGCCCTCTAGTTCTAACCCAAGTTTCTTGCTCACTCTTGCGAGATGCCATGCCAGATGCCATGCCAGCCTCGGAGAGAAGCATCTCTCAGCCAGGATCTCTGATAGGGACATGCCTGCTCCGTGAGAAAGCCTTAGGTGCTTTATTCCCAGCCTTCACCACAAAGGCACAACGTCTTCAGCATACGGGTAACTGCCTTAAGCAAATTTATATAGGATAGTTAGGTATGGCCCCAAAATTGTCACCGAGACTAGAACTAATGGTCAAATGTAACAAAAAGAATGAAAACTGAGTAAATTCTATTTTTGTTAAATGTGTATATATTCCTAAATATGACTACAGCAGGAAACGTCTTTAAAAATGCTGAAATGCTAAAGGCCATTATCCCTTGGTGGTAGAATGTCGTTAGACTCAAAGAATTTTTCTCTTTGTTCTCCTGGATTTTCTCATTTCCCCACAATGAGTATACTCTATTGTGCCTTTTTGTTTTTTAAAAATAAAGAGCGTTGAGGAAGTAACGAAGGGAATCTCTACTCTGAACTTAATTCTGATCTAAGAGAAATATAAGTAAAGTGGAAATCATGAGAATTTGGGGCAAAGAATCTATGCCATCTTGTGGTTCGTAAGTCACTAAGGAAAAGGGCACTGGGCAGTGAGATCTGCATCCTGAACCTTTAGAAAGCAGCTTTCAGGAAGTACAGAAACCAGGTTATGACTTTGGAAACTGGAGAAGGCACTGACCCCCCTGACCTCCCGAGAAGAGGACTGAGGTCAAGGAGAGAGAGCAACTGCTCAAACCATTCGGTCTCGGCTGGCCTCTGGCGGAGTCATTCTTCCACGGGGGAGGTCAGGGGGAAGGGAAAGAAATGGTCAAGGGGGAAGGAACAAAGCCCAGGATAGGTGTTTGGGCAGCAAGAAGACAGACCAACGCTTTCAATGGTTTCCAGGCGTAAAGGCCAAACAAACTGTACTCCAGAATAAGACTTTATGGGCACACTGGCAACCTGTGTGAGAAGCTGGAAGGCAGCTCTGGGCAAAATTGTATGAGGAGATCCTGCAATATCACAGACACTGATCCTTGGCGAAGTCCTAGAACAGCTTACCGCACGCTACAATTACTGAAGTAAGGAAGCAGTGGTGGTAAGGAATAAGCACAGGGTTGCAACAACAATAAAAAAAGAGTCATGCTTGTTTCCTGGGGTTTTGCATGGATACATCAAGAGAATAAAACAAACTGTGTTTTATTTCAACAAGGGATCTGACTGAAATTTTCATAATATTCTTATAAACAAGAAGGGAAAAAAACCCTGCAGGCAGGATAGTCTGGTTTGGGGGCTAAGCTGAATGTGCCTTCACCTAAAAGGGCTGAGATCCACACACTGTGGGGGGGTTTGCTACAAGGTCAACCAGGGTGTCTCAAACTTTGAGGCAGGCCCCAGGGCAAGGGTCTGCAGCTTCTCCTGGGAGGCTTGTGCTTTTTCTACCAGAATGTTTTATTCCTGTATTTTCACTGTGATGGTCTTTGAAAAAGGAACACACGCTCTAGATTACTGGGTGACTGTGGCTCTGCCAAGCTTTGCCTGTTTCAAGGCCTGTGTGTGTTTTTACAACGGTACCGGTGCCAAGGGTGCCGCTCTAGCTGCGTGGGCTAATTAAGACAACTTAATTCTGCACATTTAATTCACGATACATTTGTGCAAAGTGAGGGATGACGGCTCTGCAGAAGCGTGGGAGGACTGTGGTGCCTGGCGCTAGACACTGCAGGGTAGGCGTGCAGAGCTCAGGGAGCCTGACGTGTCAAGTCTGTGGCATGCTGCTGCTGACAGCAGCAGTACGGGTTCCATCAAGTGTCATCGTCGCAGAATGAGGTTGTTGATGTGATTTTCACTGGCTTTTTTGTAGTTAATTAATTTTATAGGAGCGAGATCAATGAGTTGATAAACAGATTTATGTGCATAATTAAGTAAGGTTGCAGCATTCTAATGAAAACGATCTAAGTTGACTCAAAAACAGTTTTCCTTTAGAGCAGCGATGTTCAAAGTATTTCGACCACGAACCACAGCTATAAAAACAATTTACATCAAGACCGATGTGCACGCACCCACACATCTCCCTGTCTTGTGCTCAGGCACTGAAGTTTCCTGAAACAAAATCTATCCTACTCTGTATGATGGACTTGGGTATTTTTCTACTACTCTATTTCATTTTTTTTTTAAATGCTGGCTGTGACTCACTAAATTGGTTCTACGCCCTAGAGGCTGGAAAACGTGGCTTTAGACTAGTCAAATCCACCACCGAAGTTTGGAAAACCATACGAAGACCAAGCAGCCAAGTTCAACTCACAGATGTCACAAAACTGAGGATTATAAATACAATGGCTGTTAGTATTAGGGTTCAAAGAGATCTTTAAAAACTAGTATGTGCAGTGCTTTTAGAGCAGGAGGCTCCATCCAGACCTAAATGAGAGCTGGGACTGTGCTGTCATCTGTGGGGTGGCGAGGGCGACCCTCTCAGCCTCGCTGCACTGTAAGACAAAGGGCATGGCACCTCCCGGGATTCTAGGGGGCGTCAATAATTACTATGGAGAGCAGCGAGCACACAGTGTGTAATCAATAAATACTGGTTTAAACTTTGAAGTTGAGCACATCCTACCATTGGGTTAAAAAAAAAAAAAAGCACATGCATATAGGACAGGAAGACAGAGCTTAACAGTGGTTCTCCTGTGAAAAAGCCCCAGTGGGTTTGTCTCAAACCTAAACGGGAGGCAACAGAATCTAATGTGGTTGCCAAAACAGCTATTGCAATCTTGGACTGCATTTCCAAAAGTTCAATCACAGAAGAATAAAAATCATCCCAGTGTGTTCTGCACACCTGGGCCACATCTGGAGTGGCAGCTTTCATTCTGAGGCACACTTTGAAAGGGACATTTTCAATTGGAGCTTGTTCAGAGGACAGGAGCAGTGGTGTGACCAGGATGCCAGACTAGTGAGATCCACCAGGGCACTTATTCCATATGTGGTTCAAAGACTTCAGGGTAGTAACTTCAAGAAGGCAGATGTGGGGGGCGCCTGGCTGGCTCAGTCCATTGAGCATGCAACTCTTGATCTCGGGGTCATGAGTTTGAGCCCCACGTTGGAGGTAGTATTTACTTAAAAAGAAGAAGAAAAAGAAGGCAGATTTCGGATTAATAGAAGGGAAAATTTTCAAAAGATGGAATCAGTTGCCTTTTGAGGGAATGTTCTCCCTTTTCTGGAATCGTTCAGACAGAGGCAGGATGTGTGTCTTTGTCAGAGATGGGATATCTAGATGGAGTGGGAAGCTGGACTAAACAAACTTTTGTAAGATTTTTAAAATTCTTAGACCATGTTGCGATTAGAAACACAAGATGAGTTACTTGCACCCAAAGGCTGGGAAGGAAGGCAGGGGCTCCCCCAGGAGGCTCCCCTAGGCTCAGGTTCGTTAGCCAAAATTGGTGACTGACTCCCACCGGCATTCTCTTCTCCAAAATAGAAGGACATTAGAATAGGACAGAGTGCAAACGACTTGAAAAATGGGCCTGGAAAACAGGCCTCAGGCTTCTGACTCGTCTCCCCTTCCCATCTCCCTTTCTCCCTCTGCAGCTGCTGTTACCCTGGACTCGAACTGTTTGGAGACCAGGCCGGGCTCGGAGCGAATCTTCAGTTAGGAAGTTACAGCAGCATCTACCGAAACAGCCCTGCTGGCACTTGACGTTGTACCACTTGGGTTTGGTTTCATTTTCTTCCCCAGCTGGCTCTCGAAATAACCTTCTAGATTTCAAACCAGTGTTTGTAAGTATCTCTCCTCGTGTCACTCAGAGCTTTGTGGCCCCTCAGCTGCAGGCCTGGGCAACCAAAACAGAGACTGATCTCCCTGCCACTGCAGAACTCTATGCTAGGATTAGCCATGAACGGGAAAAGAGAAGCATTTCCAGTTGGGTGTTTGGAAATGAAAAGTGGTTCAAAAGTAAGCACAGATGTGTAACTGCAAGACTATATGCAAAGGTACTTTAGAACCTCATTAATTTGGAACCTTACGTTTAAAACATGTAACCTGGACATAGATTGTGCTGGACTTTGTCTTCATACTATTCAAAGGGAGGCTAAATAGTGTACGAAGCCTGCAAAGGGAGTCTTGCGCGTAACCACGTAATGGTTTTATACCACTTCGATTTAATTGTACCGCATGCTTTTAACAGCAGTTTACATCCGGTCACTGAAACCTACATTTAGCAGCACCAGTGAGTGGGATTTACTAAGTGTTCTTGAAAGAAAAAGCTGCATTTCTTTCAGAGTTGTGCCATTCAGACTTTTCATTAATTTAGGTTAGCTAGAACTTTCCCAACCGTCCCTGGGCTGGTGAAGTTTTACAGTGATTTATTATACAAAAGCAACAGTAGCTCTCTCAGGCTCTTAAGGAAAACTTCCAAGGGCATCAAGCAAGGCTTCCAGACTGGGGGGCAGAGGGGGGTGTGTGGGTGGGTGGGGCCTGTGGGGAGGTCTCTGGCCTGATGGCACCACCCCTAACTCTCCATTCCCTAGACCCAGAGGCCAGTCTAGTTCCAACACCAGCAGAAAAGCATCCTCTGAGTCTCCCAGCTCTTCTGTGCACAGATCACCCATCTCCACCTCCGCCCCTCCAGCCAGACTTTTCTTCCTTGAGCCCTGGCCAATCCTGGTGGAAAAGCTGCCGGCACCCTCCTGTTCCCCTCCTTTCTCACTTGCTTATTTCCCTGAGCAGCAGCAGCAGGACTCTGACCCCAGCTCTATGCTCTCACTGCTCCTGCCCGGGTCACCAAGGACCTCCTCATGGCTAGATCCAATAGACGCCCATCAGCAGTTCTTGAACCTGACTACTCCCAAGGCCTCAAATTCCCATGGATCTTCTCCTACCTCTCCAGCCTCCTCTCCCAATTGTGGGCTCTGTTCCTCAACACACGTCCTTCTCACCCAATACTTGTTCCACAGGTGACCATGCCCACTCACGTGGCTCCCGGTACTATCCACAGACTGCCACCTCCCGGGTCTGCAAGTGGCCCAGGTCTCCTGAGCAGCAGGTGGTTACATCCAGCCCTCTGTGAGCCTTCCACTTGGGCAGGCCACAGGACTTCCCACACTGAGCTGCCACCTCTGCCCCTTCTCTCCCCAGCTTCCTCATCCCTGGCCTCCACAGGCCCTCTTCCAGATCCCTGAAGTTTTCATCTCTGCCGGCTGACCTTTCCTTGCTCAGAACTCCTTCTTCTCTTTCTACTAGCTAATACCTACTCTCCCTTCACGTCTCAGCCTGGTTTTTTCCCCAGCAAAATTTATTGAGAGCCCACTATGTACCTAGCTGTCATTTACTCAGACCCCGGAGATGAGGCTAACCCCTCCGGAAACACTCGCCACCCATTAAATAATCACAGGCTTAATGTCTCTCGATATTCGCAGGAGGGTTCCCATATTCGCAGGAGGGTTCCCAGGGTGGGCCAGGCCAGTTTTCACTGCGCAGCTACACCAAGCCCAGCACACAACACAGGAGCCCTTCAGTGCCTGCGGGCCGGATGAATAATGGCAGTCTTTGGTTCAGCCAGCCTCTGTCTGGTATTTCCAATCACAAGGAAACCTGAACATCATCCTCACTGCCAATGACTCATCAAGCCCTCATGATTCTACCTCCTAAATATAAACCTCTCTCCAATCCACTCACCACTCTCCATCCCCTTTGCTGCGACCCTGGCACTGACCACCTTCCGCTCAGCCTGGAATACTGCCCAAAGCCTTCAAAATGGCTCCCCAGCCTCTGGCCTTGCCCCCTCTAATCCAGCCTCCAACATCAGTGTCAGAAGAATCTTTAAAACGTAAATCCCATTCAGCCACCCCCTCCCATTATACCTTTCAATAGCTTCCAGATGATCTTAGGATAAGCTTTGTAAAAACCAAAACACTCTGCCCCTCCCCCTCTACCTCTCCTTTATCTCTTGCACTTCAGATTCTCCCCACAGGCGCTTGGTGTTTTCCATCTCTGGAACTACAATCCGCCCTCTCTCACTTGGAGCCTAAGCTTGCTCCCTCTGGCATTTGTCTGGCCAACTCCAGTCCTTAGAGCTCAGTTTAGAATTCACTTCAGTAGGGAGAACCTTTGCTGACCTCTTCGCTCCCAACCCCCAAGTCTGGAGCAAGAGCCCGTGCTGTGTGCCAGTGTATAGGTCCCACCGCCCCCTTCCCCCATCACAGGGCAAGGAGTGGAACTTCCTAGGGGTCTTTCCAATGGCCTGGCTCAGGAAGCACTGGTAACAGGAGGAGGCCTCAGACACGACCCCAAAGCCCCTGGACATCAGGCTGGGGGCTGTTCCACTGGTCTTTCACTTGAGAACATTCCTCCTGAGACACAGGGAATGAGAGAGAAGGGGACCTAAGCAATACCACAACAGGCTTTAGGAAGCTCTTTTCCCTCTGGAGACAACTTTGGTCAAACTACAGCCAGGACTTGGGGGTAACTGGCTTTTTGTTGTTGTTGGTCTCATGAGTTCCTACCATGGCTTTCTTGGCCATCCGCTACGGTATGTCCCCTGGAGGAATTTCACTCTGCACAAACAGTCCTTCTGCAGGCTATTTTGGTCAGCCCAGCTGGGCCAGAAGCCAACAAAACAGTTTCTCCCAGTTGCCTGGCCTGGAAGAATTCAGAGCTGGTAAGGGAAAGGCAAGCCATGGCTGGTTTTAGAGAACAAAGTTGGACCTTGAAGGGAGTTCATAAGTGGGCTAAGAGAACTGGCCTGCATGGAGGGGGCAGCAACACTGGTTGTTAAAAACACCAAACTGCAGAGAAGCAAGTCTCCAGCACCGTAATAACCATACTATAAAGAGCTCAATAAGGGTAAAAGGAACTTCACTGACTTGCCTTAAATGAGAACTCTGGGTGGCGGCTTGCTAATGCCTCAGGCCAAAGGCAGAGGGTGGGAAAGATCTAATCTATAGCCTCTACTCAGTCAAGGCTTGGGAGCCTTCCTGTCTTCCCTGTGCCCAACTTTGACGGCAAGCTCAGCCCAGGACCCTTATATGGGCCCACAATTTATCACGAAGTTAAAATTCCCTTCATCAGCGTGAGGCACCTGGGCAGCTCAGTCGGTTAAGCATCTGACTCTTGTTTTCAGCTCAAGTCATGATCTCACGGTTTGTGAGTGCAAGCCCCGTGTCAGTCTCTGTGCTGACAGTGCGGAGCCTGCTTGGGATTCTCTCTGTCCCTTCCCTGCCTCTCAAAAAAAAAAAAAATTTTTTTTTTTAAATTCCTGGAGCATCTGAGTGGCTCAGTTGGTTAAGCTCAGATCTTAGTTTAAGCTCAGATCGTGATCTCACAATTCATAAATTCAAGCACCATGTTGGGCTCTGGGCTGACAGCTCAGAGCCAGCTTCAGATTCTCTGTCTCCCTCTCCTTTCTGTCCCTCCCCCCCCCCCCGCCCCAGTAAACACTAATAAAAAATTCCCTTCATCAGCTAAGACCCGTTATTTCTCCCCTTTTCAAACAAAACCCTTTGCAAGAGTTACCCATAATTGCTGCCCCTAATTCCTCTCCTGCCAGTCTTTCTGGAACCTGCTCCCGGTTTTTGCCCATGCCACATAAACTGCTTGTGCCACCAGTGACCTCTGCGCTGCTAAATCTAACAGTTCATTCTTAGACCTCATTTTGCTTGTTGAGCTGACAGCTGACCCCTCTTTCTCCTTGAAACACTTTCTACACTTGGCTTCCAGAACACACTTGCCAAGCTGACCTCTGTCTCTAGCTACTTTTTCAAAGATTCCCTTGCTGGGTCCTCCTCTCCTCTCCAATTCTAACTGGTTGAGCTGCCCGAAGGTGAAGTCTCAGCATTTATTCTTCTGTCTGTACCTATTTTCTGGGTGGTTTCGTCTAGCTCCACAGCTTTAACAACCAGTAGCATACAGGTTCTATATAACGATGACTTCCAAGTTTATATCTGCAAACTTGTATATCCAACTGCCTACTGACGTCTCCACTTGGATATGTTAACAAGCATCTCAGACCTAACTAGCACCTGATATCGCCCTAACTGTGTCTCCTTCAAACTCTCCCATGCAGTGAATGGAATTCCATCCTTCCGGCGCCTTAGTGCTAAAACTCTGCAAGTCGTTCTTGACCCTTCTTTTTTTCCACACTCTACATTTGACAGCCAGCAAACAGTGTTTCGGTTCAAGGTAGAAAATATATTCTGAAGGTACAAAATACATTTAGAATCTGATTGCTTTCACCACCACCTGTTATCACCCAGAGTCAGGTCATCATCTGTCACCTGGTTAACTTTGCGAAAGCCTCCTAGCCGGGCTTCTGACCTTGTTCCTGTCAGTCTGGTCTCAACATGCATCCAGAATGAGACCCATCACACTTAAGCAAAATCACATTACTCCTCTGCTCAGAACCCCCAACAGCACCGCCTCTCCCATTCAAAGTAAGAACCGAAGTCCCCACCGTGACACTTAAGGACCCTACGTGACCTGTCTCTTGTGACCCCTCTGACCTATCCTGTCCCTCCTCTTCACTACTTCAGCCACGCTGGCCTCCCTGCTGCTTCCCAACATGCTAGGTACAGCCCCTCCTCAGGGCCTTTGCACTTGCTGTCCTCTTTGCCTGAGTTCTCACCCTCCACTCCCCACGCCAGACTGAGAATGACTCAATCTCTCCCCTCCTTCTGACTTTACTCACATGTCACCTTCTCACTGAAACCTTCCCTGACCGCCCTACATAAATTGCACCCTTTCACATTCTTCCGTCTTCTCTTTGTCTCTGTACCACTTCTCATCGTCTAATACACAGTAGTTACTTATTTACTGTCACCCACTAAGATGCAGGCTTCCTAAAGCCAGGGACTTCTCCTTCCCTTACCCACTGAGGTAACCCTCCTACCTGGCACATAGTAGGTGCCTAGTTTACATTTTTTAAATGGATGAGTGAATGAATCCTGGAGACTACAGAGAGGGAGAACCTAAATGGAGTTTTAAGAACCACAGGAGAAAACCCACGGATGTGGGATCCACTCGCCAGGTTAGCTCAGCTGACACTGTCCCAGACAGAACTCCCAAGCCTGCCAGTCACCTCACGTGGGGACAAGTACCTGTGTGCAGACCGGCACAGTCCAGTCCTGCTCTTGGACGATACATGCACAGGGGAAGGGGAATTCTTTTCCAAATGAGTTAAGATAACAAGGGCCGGCTAGATGAATGTGCCTCCTCAAAATGTGACTATCATTTGCTAGTTTGCATCCTGCCTGGGTCACACCCAGTGGTACTGGAAGGGACACTGGAGAAGTGTGTGGGGACCCCGGGACGGCAGGAGTGGTGAAAACTCTTCACCCTGACAGAGCAATCCCAGGAAATGGTGCAAAGAATGCTTGGTCTCACACTGCTCTTGGAGAACAGGAGAGAAAAAGAAACCAAGATACACTCCTCCCCCCCCCCCCCCCCCCCCCCCCCCCCCCCGCCAGAAGAGAACTATGTACAAAACACGTGTTTTCTCTGCTTTTGGCACATTTATTTGAGAGTCACGCCCACATTCATCCCAGGCTCAGACCGGTACTGAAATGAGCTCTGACTTCATTTCCCCAGGGAAGAGAGAGCTGGCTTGCCATTCACTGTTCTGAAGGCTGGGAAAGGTTTTGGTCTGTTTTCAGGCTAATCTGAGAAGCCTTCAGTCCGACACCGACCTGGGGCAGAAATATTCCACTTCCAACCACAGAGCCCTGCCTGCTGTCTCTTAGTCCCTAGTCACACTCTCTGAGAAGTTGCTTTGTGACTCCACTGAGCCCCAGAGGAAAGCTAACAAACACCCCAAAGAGGAAGCACTAAAAAGAGGACATTTGGCAGTGGGCAGGCCAGAGCTTGCTGCGCGTTCCTGGGCCACTTTCACCCCATGGCTGAGGTGAAAGAGGCCACCTACCAGCCTAAATCCTGGCGTAAGGACAAGCCGGCATTTCAGAGCCCTCAGCATCAAACACAGCAGTCCCCCACGCTAAACCTTGGCATTACGACGTGGGGAGGCTTCTGGCCACGTACAGCACCCAATTCCAAACCTGGGACCACCTGCAGCTAAGGAAGGAGATGTCCCCAGGAGGGATTCAAACAGCTGGGCCCGCACACATGCTCTCCTGTGACACAAACAGCTTGGACATCTCACTACTGCTCGAAGCTGTTCCCGGGGACAGACTGAACAGCATCTAGCCTGGGCTGGGCACTCAGCCCTTTCGCACTCCCTCGATCTCGTGCAGAGCCTGGCTCCCTGGGGCACATCCTGAAGAGAAGCGAGGTAATGCCCTGTGCCGGTGATGGCCCCGGGAAGAGCACCCCCTAGCCATGTGGGGGAAGCCAAGCAGCGAGTGCTGACTGACCTTACTCCTGGGTTCTCTTTCTAGCACCATGTAAAGGCAGTGGAAAAATCAGTTTTCCATTTCGGAATCCTGTCCACGAGAACAAATCTACCAGTACCATCTGGGAACATCTCTTCCAGGGCAATCTCTAATCCTTTCGCAATACTTAGGCTGACAGTGCCCTCAAGTTAGGTGGTAATGTCCCATGTTTTTACCCTCCTAATTCATAGCAAAACAACAAGTAAGCAAAAACATCAGCGAATGCATAAAGATGTCCATCTCCCAGGCCAGCCTGTGTTGTTCTGGTCCAGCATGTTGGCCAGGTTTCCTCGTTTAGAACTTACAAGAAGTTCCCTAATCCAGTTAAACTATCTAAAGGGACCCTCGGGATGTATCACGCAGTAAACTCATAAGAAAGGACTGGGGCTTCTCCAAATACATTTTACTTCAAGTCTTCAGCCCACAAGGTTTCAGACTAGACCCCATAATTGTTTAACTCAGCAGTGTTCACATCTCTACGACTTCTAGTACTCTGTATACACGTTAAAAGTTACTTCTCTGCCTCTTTCATTCCGTGGCCACTGAACACGCCCCTCCAAAATAATTACTACATTTTTCAATCCTTGGAAGCGAGACTTCCAATTTGTGTATAAGCAGAGAATGGAGGTGATGGAGGGAAGTCACAGAAGAACATGCTACATTTCCATCATAGAAATGTGTGGTGACAAAGTTCTGGAAGATTGCTGAACTCAAGCCAACACCAGGGTCTACTGGCTGGCGGAACAAGCTTAGGATGTCTTCATAAGGGCCCTGGTTGGGCAATACTCACTGAAAGTAGAGTCAGGAATTATCACATGCCTATTGCAAAGGACTGTTCAAGCTACAAGGGATCCTGCAACTTCTCCAAAAGGCTGCTAGTGGTCAACAAAAGAACGAGGAAGTTCAAGGCCAACATCTCAAGATGAACTGCCCTATATGCTATTATGCCACGAAGTTCCTTTACCCAGATATTTGCCAAAATCTTCTTTTAGCTTCTCTCCTCTGACAGGCCTCCGGAGGCCCAAATTTTAATAGAGTCTGAGAGAAGAAAGCCGGTCAGTCTATGTGCTTGTCAACACTTACGCCAAGCTCTTCCTCCTGGAGTCAGTTCCCCTTACAGGGCAGTCAGGTGAGGATCCAATAATGAACTAATTCCACTTGGGTCTCCTTGGCAAAGACATTGTGTCTTTAGCAGCCTAGCTCAGGGAGTTTATAATTATGTCAGACCAGCCTTTTTTTTTTCTTTCCTCTTGTTGCTGCTTTTAAATGAAGAGGGGTGAAGCCTCCGTACAACCAAGTGGAAGAACCAGAATTAGAAAACTTACCAATCGCCCCAGCCAATGAGAATCCAGTTCCAACAGGTATTAATGCCTGTTGGAAGCCACTGGAACATTGACATCATCAGCCCAACTGACAGGTTGTCTGACAGATTCGCCCCCTTCACCGCACACAAGAATTTAAAACAAAACAAGACACTGCCATTACACTCATTATTGCAGACAAGAGGTTTCTTTGTGTTATTCATCAAAATGACTTCTATGGTGCGGACTTCACCACCGTTCCCTTAACAACCTCTCTGAACTGGCCAACACCCTGAACTGGCCGACACCCTAAACTTTCTAGCCCTAAAAATCTTATCCAAAATATCAACTCAATGCTTAGCCCTCCGCTGTGATACTTAAGGCCTTCTGGGGTACAGCATGCAAGTTGTAGATAGTGCATGCTAGTGTACTTTGAAATAGTCATCACCCTTTTTTCTGCAATTAAATCAGTGTAATGGGGGGGGGGGGGCCTGTGAGCCAATTCATTGCTTAAAGCAGATCTACTAGCTCCTCCCTCCCTTTCTCTAGGAAACCACAAATAAGGGAGCAAGTAGTCTCAAGAAGAAAAAAACTCTGGGAGAATGTGCACTGAGAAAAGCCAGATGGAGTCCTTCTGGATCAAGTTAATTAAGAAATAAACACGACGGTATACTGGAGTCAAAACCAAGGAATGCGGTGAGGACAGGTTTCTCAATTGCCCAGAAGAGAAGACACAGTTCCTTTTCAACTAAAATTAGAAAGCCACTGGGAACATAAGCCAAGAAGCACGGGTAGGAGGCTGAGAACCATAAGTCAGCAGTGGGATGGAGGTGGGGTGGAGGAAGAAAGTAAATATCCGTTTTATTTCGTCTATCATTCCTCAGGTTTGCATCTGGCTTTTGGGATTCAGCAGACCCACCAACGGAGCATCAGCTAACAGGCTGGAGGCTCTGTCAGCAAGTTCTTAAACGGCTCATAATTCTGCTAAGGGCTTGCAGGTATCTAGCTGGTGTTCAAGGACCCAAGTGAAAACATTACAAGGTTTTTGTCCACTCCAGTCTAAGGCAAGAGATCATCTGCCCTGGGTGTTGGGGGGTGGGGGGGTGTGCCCTCGTGTCCTGACACCATTTCTCTATAGGGATATATCGGGAACCAGGCTGGCTTCTAGACGCCGCAGTGCCCACATGGTTGGCGCCGTCTGCATTTCAAGCATTCCCTTGCCCCTCTCTGCACTCGGAAGGCCCCTGAATCGCCGGCGGGCACCGAGTCAGAAGGCAAGAGGGTCCCCTGAAAACAGGGCAAGCGCGAGGAGCGTCGGCCGCCTCCTCGGAGCAGACCCAGGCTATGTCCACGCGCCGGGAAGCACTGAGGTGGGTCGGCAACCGGGTGAAGGGGGTGCCAGGCGTGCCCGGGTGCCCACACCTCTCACCAGCCCCCGGAAGCGCCGCCCTCCCGCCCAGCGGGCTCCGAGGGGGCGGGGAGTCGAACGCCCCCTTCCGGGTGCCTCCGCCCGGCTGGCCAGCCCCGCTCCTCCTCCGGGCGGGAATCCTCCCTCCCCCGCCCCTCCCGGAGCCGGGCCCCGGCGCCAGGCCCGGCCCCAGGGGGGAACCCCCAGCCCCGGCTTCCCCTCCCTGCGGCCTCTGCCCGTCTTCCCGACCCTTGAGGGCCGGGAAGACCCCGCCGGCAGCGGCCAAGACCCACCGCTCATTACGACATCTTCCTCCCTGGCCTCCGCCGCCTCCGCCGCCACCGAGAGCCTGACACCGCCCGCCCAGCACCCGCCAATCCCGGAGCCCGCCACCGCCCGAGCGACGGCAGCGTTCACCAATAAGAGTTCACTACATTGGGGACCGACAGCACTAGTACCCAATCAGAGAGAGGCATCTAGAGCGACGTTGGTTTGGCCAATAGACCTCTGAAATGTCACTGATGGACGGTAGAGGGCACCAACCGGAAACCTACTGAAGAGTGAACGACATGTTCGTCAACCAATTGGCGGGACGTGAAGTCCCGCCTACGAGGTGGTTGATGGACAGCAACAGGAAGCTAGATGGGGAGGGGCTTAGCTGAGGAGTGGTTTTGTATTGGTCGTGGTTGACCTTCCACCCACCTCGAACCCAAAAGATGGGTGATAGATCTACCCTAAAGCCAATCAGAAGTCCTTAGGGTGAGGCCCAGAAATGCCCTATAAATAGTACACACATTGCACCTCAGTCCAGTGTCGCCCTGGAGTGGCAGGAGACTCACGCTCTTCGGCCACTCAGACACCGTGCCTGGTGAGTGGGAAGCCACCGGCCTTTTACTTAGTCCCTCGCCGTTATCGCCTCGGAGAGGAAAATTAGCCTCCAGGCGACTTTATAGCGCGAGGCGTCGGAGTCCAACACAATAGCGGGAGTTGGGCTACGTGACACTTCTGAGAGAAGGGATTATCTCGCTGTTTCAGTTCAAGCCCCTGTTCATTCTCACCTGGTTATTGGAGCGACGACACCCCCCCCCCCTCCGCCCCCAACGGGCGGTCCACCCAAGGTCACCTGAAGCTCTCTAAAAGGAGAGTCCCGGGGCTGCCGATCATAATCCGATTCTGTACGTCTAGGGCACTCCTGGAATGTGCATTCAGCCCAGCGCCTCAGGCGGACGGACTTTCCGATTTACTTCCTTGAATGAGGTGCTGTGAGAGTACAGACAGCCCTCGGAAGGCGCTACCCGGGTACGTTTTTCTTTCCCAAGTCTTTGCTGTACATGCGTAACTTGGGCAGGCTGCCTGGCATTACTGAGCAGGAATCCACGCTGGCTTCAGACCAGCCCGGGTTTGAAATTTCCATCTCACTTACAGAGAGGGGCAGGGAACTGAAACTCCCTGCGCCTTTACGTCCTCAGCTGTAAAATGAGGCTGGTCACACCTACACCTGACAGCATCGGCTTCTCTCTCTTTTTTTTTTTTTTAACACCATATGCCACCGTGAGAAATAAGATTCAAATCCCGACACGATACACTTAACACTCTGGTGAAAATGGGTAGCAGAAGTTTCCAAAAGCAATACTAAACCTTCCTACCGGTGATGCACTGATATTTTCTATACTGTTATTATTCTTCCTTCCTCCCTCCCTTCCTTTTTTCCCTTCCTTTTCTTGATCTTGACTGGCAGTTTGTAAAACGCCATCATAAAGGGTTGGAGTGATAAAATAAAATACAGAGCCCAATGCCTGCTACACAGTAATTGATGAATAAATATTAATATTATCTCCCTGTCTTCCCATCTCAGCCTTTGCCTTTGAAAACCAAGACTCTAAAAGCAAGACTCCTTCCAGGTGCCTGGGTGGCTCAGTCAGTTGAGCACCCGACTCTTGGTTTCCTAGGGTTATAGGATCGAGTCAGGCTTGGTGCTCCACACTCAGCGCAGATCCCATTTGAGTGCCTCTCTCTCCCTTCCTCTGCCCCTCTCCCCTGCTGATCTCTTTCTCAAAATTAAAAAAAAAGGTATCACTCCTCTAGTTAAGCTCCTTCATTGGGCTCCCTATGCCGTCCTGGATAAAAATCCGAACTCCTTTTTTAAGGGGCAATGTCCTTCATACACACTTGTGTATCTTTCCTCCCCCCACCCGATTCCCTTTCTACAGACCCTACCCTCTTGCCTCAAGAAAAGATTCCATATTTCTTAAACGCTTATTCTTCTCTTTCCCTTCCTACTTTATCCTTCCTTTCTCCTGGTAAACTCCTATACATCCTTCAAGACCCTGCCCAAACTCTGAACACCTAACTCCCACACAGCCACAGCTTCTTCCTTCTCTAGACTGCAGAGGGCTTCACTCACTAACACCGCGCTTCTATTTTCATTTCTGTGTCCTGCTACGTACACTGTAAGCTGCAGTGGAAGGGCTGAAGCCCGCACAAGAGCACTGGCAGGAAGCGTTAAGTTGAGTTAAAGAATGAATATTTGCATACAATTACATCTACATAGGACTTGTTTATATAGACCATACATTCTGTTCCCAGGCCATTTTTCAAGTTAAGATTGCTTCACTGTCAACCGAGGACTCCACCCGAGTTCAGTGACTCAGCTCAATGAGGGTGCAGGGAGTTTTGGGGGGCGGGGGGAGGCGAGGTTGAATATCCTGCTGGGCCACTGCCAAACCTTTTGTGGCAGGTGTGTTCTCTGACCCCAGAGGCCCCATCATGAAGATGGCAGAAACGGGAGGGGGAGGGGCAGAGTGTGCATGTGTGTGGGTGGGGGAGCAGGGTGCAAACCCGGAAATTTGGCCGTTCTGAGTTACTTGAATTGTTCTTCCCTTTTAAAGACCGCCATGTTTTCTCTTTTTTTTAGGCTGTTTTGCTCCTTTCTTACTAGAGGCATAGGCGAGGAAGGGGGCCCTTTTCTAAGGAGCCCCTTACACTTTTGTCAGGACCACTGGAGTCTTTGAGCCTGGTTTACAACCCCCTCAGACCACCGTACAACTTCTCTTCCCTTCCAGAGGTCGCTGCTTTCAAGATGGCCCCCATTCTCGCCAGAGAGGAAGGAGCCCAGGCAGCCAGCTTCTAAGGCTTGCTTTCTCCCTGGCCACACTTTATAGGCTCCCTAGAGAGCTCTTCATAAATTCTGAAGTCCAAGTCCCATCCCAGGTCCAGAAAATCAGAATCTCTGGGGGTGGGACCTCAGTGATGGTATTTGGAAGTTCCTTAGGTGACTCCCACAGGCAGCCAAACGTGGAGACCACTCAGTAGCACATACATCTTTTCACTGTGGGCGCCCAAGTGAAAAGCTGTGAACAGTCTGACCCTCCACCCCCACCCACTCCTGTCCCTCCCCTTCCTGAATTTCTCCCCTGCCCACCCTACCTGTTTCGGTCTTCACGGAGCCAGGGCTGACAAGTGGTTCTGGCTGTGTCTCACCCAATGGGCCTGGAGGCAGGCTCTCTCTCTCTCTCTGTGATATTTCTCTTCTTGTTTCCAACTATACTCAGGCTCTTCTTGCTCTAAGTGGTCAATTTCTCCCCCTTTCTCATTTACAAACTCCCCATCCGTCTTAAAGCCCCATTTTGTCTTATTCACTCCTGCACCTTCCACTCTCAACACATTGCCTGATATATGTGCAGAATGAGTTTGTTGACTGACTAAATGACTGCACCCCTTTAACACTTTTCATGGACTTCCCTCCTCTTCCTGGCCCAGCTTCCTCTACCTCCATTTCACCTCTCCTTCCCCATCTGCTTCTTCACCCCCTTTCCTCTTGATTCTGACCTGCTTTCCCTGCTTCCTGACATTCTCCTTGTCCTTCCCTTTTGCAACTTCCCCTCTCATTCTTCAGTACCAGAGAATGCGCATCTGTCCCCAAGGATGGGTGAGAGCACCAGAGGGAGGGAGAAAGGGGTGCAGAGCCGCAGTCTCTGCCCTTAGGAAGCTCCAGCTTCCTTCTGGGGAGCCTCGTGGGAAAGGGGTAGTGAGCAGATGCTGGGGGGGTCCAGAAGCCAGAAGAATATCAGTGTCCCGCCTTTGACTACCTGCTGGTCCTCATTCATAGCTACTACAACCCAAGCTTGATTGCTTTATTTTTGAAGAGTTCCAGCAAATTCAGCCTTCTAAAGCCTGCTCATCCTCCCTTAGGGATTTTCCCAGTAGCCTCTGCTTCTCCCATTGACCTCCTCTGCTTTTCCACATTCTCATGTCTTCCCTTTCCACCTACAGAGAAATCAAATTTGCCGACTTTTCACATAGTCCCTGACACTCTCAAGCACCCAGACAAAAACACCTAGTTTAAGTGAATCCTGATTTCTTTTTTCCTCCCAGGCCCATCTATGGTTTCAACCATCTACTTTTCCTTAGTTTTCCATGAGCCCGAAACAGTGACAGAGGCTGTAAAGTGCGTCTCCCTATTACACATTGGCAGCTACCCCACCTCGCACCCCGGGTATACACACACAGCCACCCCTCTTTCGCCACTACCTGGGGATGCCGCTCCTGACCCATGCCCTGACTTGTCAACTCCCTCTGCCCCCTGGTTGCCCTGCCAGACTGATGACTGTCCACCAACTGCCACGGAATCTTCCAGCAAGAACGTTCCACCCTTCCTTCCCCACAGGATTCTTCCTTCTTACCTGGTTCTTTCCAACCCTTAGTCCCTTTGGGATGAGGTCTCTGGAGTCTTAGGAAGAAAGAGCAGGCCCCTCCTTCCCCCTCCTCCCCACTCCCCTCCCATGGAGAAGCCCTTTAGGGTAGAAGGCACCTGTACCCTCTCAGTCTTCCTTGTTGCCACTAGGGGGCATCCAACGCATTTCTAAAAGAAGATGCTGGGTGGGTTTTGTTGTTTGCTTGTTTGCTTGTTTGTTTTAACCTTACTGGAAGGGAATGGCAAGCATAGAAATTGAGTTTTAACAAGCATGCATTGAGTGCCAGCTGTTTGCCTGTGCCCTGCTTCACCTGGAAACAGTATGTTCTAGCCACTGCAAAGACTCCTTGAAGAGCCATTTGCCTCTCTAAGGAATCATTTCTGACCAATCAGCTCAACTTACCATGTCTGGGAACATTCTCCTCTGTCTCGGCCTCAGCCTCTTCCCTGCCCTCAGCCCCTCTCCTCCCCTGCGGACCCCGAGGACCACAGCTCTGTGTCTGCTTCTCTGAGTCCAGGCTTCCCATGACAGACTGGCAACATATCTAGGGACAAAGTGAATTTCCCCAGGTGAGCCCTGTCTCCCTCTCTCTTCTGGGTCCCTGACCCCCTTCTGTCAAAGCCCCATCTTGATCGCCATCACTAGCCTCCTGAAGGTTCCCCAGACACCCTGAGTGTGGA